GTCAATAGTTCCAAAACAGTGCCGTTTTTGGAACTATTAACAGACAGGACGGTCCTGTCAGCAGTGCAATATTTCTTATCTAGGCATCTTGTTTTTAGGGTCCTTCTTGTTTTTTTTCGCCCTCTCGCATTAGATTTAGGGTCTCCAAAGGACGTCATCCATAAAATTTACTTGGTGTGGCCTTACTGGAAAAACAACGTTCAAGAAATTCTTACTGTGTTGAAAGTGTCACGACAGCGCCGCAAAATATAATAAGAGAAGATGTTATAAAGGAAAGAATCAGAACAGGGTGACTACTGCTGTTTTGTTAATTTGTCTTTATGACAAATAGAAGACTTGTTTCTTGTGTTCTTTGTGTCCTAACATTTGTACTTCTGCAGTTAGTATATTCCAAATCTAGGCATCTCGTTTTTCGGCCCTTCGTGTTTTTATTGCGCGCTTGCCTTAAATTTAAGGTAATTAGATTTAAGGTCTCCAGTGGACGTCATCCATAGCAATTACTTGGTGTGGCCGTAGAAAATAACCTGACATATGTCCAACCTATCCTCCCCCTGCTGAAGTTATAGTACAATCCCTCAATGTAACGTCATTTGATCCCATCCCATTATGGGGTTCCCCGCTATATCCAGCTGTCGGCTGTCTCCAAGCAGATGTAGGTGGGGGATTTCTAAACACAAAAGGTCCTATTACGGGGACATAACGACCTCCACGACTCTCATCTTTGAACTCAATCTTGGAGACCACGACAGTAATATACCTATCAAATTTCATTAACTTCCATCCACACATACAAAAGTTATCCTGCTCACAAGAAAAATTAACAAAATGCCCCCTGTAGTCACAACGAAACCCCCCACGAAGCTCAGTAACGAACTTAACCTTGGTCCCGACAATAGTAAGCACCACACCAAGAATTATAATCAACATTTTACAAATACTTGAGTTATCTTGCTAACAAGCCACAAACACAAAAGGTGCACTAACGTGACGCACGGACCCCCCACGAAGCCAAAACTTGTACTTGACTTCGGCCTTAACAGCGGTAATCTGCCTGACAAAAATCATGGACGTCGAATCATGCCTTCCAGAGTTATATCGCAAAATCTGCAGTTCCCCACACTCCGGCGAGACAATTTCATAGTCCTTCTGACGAAGACAATAAACTCCAGTTATGAACAGAGACAAGTTGTCAGAGCCAACTCAGGCCCCAAGGAACACAGCTGAGGAGTTACCCAAAATGTCCAGGAAAAGTTAAGTTGTATTATAAGAACCCTATTTTCCAAAAATAAGAACTGTTAGGTAACCATCATTTAGTCAGGGTTTTGAACAGTGCAGAACAGTTTCAACAAGATTTGCAACACACAACTGACAAAGTTTTAAGTCTGGTTTTATGTATGGTTAGACTGACAACCTTAATACCAAAACATGTTTCTGTGCACTAAACCTCAAACCCTCAAACATGTTCTGTGAATCATGTCACTGCTGTCACCTGTGTCTGGCTGTACCTCCTATCTATCTTACGGACTAGCTCAGAACTCAGGCCTAGGTAGTTGTACAAGGCCATGAAAGACACTCGCTGCAGACGAAGCATTATCACCTGGATGACATTTGGGGGAAGCAATCAGTTAAAATATTTCTAAACGCTTTGCCTAAGTACAGTGAGCATCATGGATACCTTGTTCATAAGTTGTGTGGTGAGACCCAGGTAGTTGTGAAGAGCCATGAAAGTTACCCGCTGCAATCGCACCATGATGATCTAACAACAACACATCATACAAACAGCAGAAACAAAATATTCAACAACAGACTGGTAAGCATTGGCATAACAAAGACTTTAATAATACTTAGTTACAAATTCTAGATATACAGTAAGTGTAACAATGACCATTATAGTCTCTTCAATATACATTGTAACACAAGTATAGTACTTTTACTAAGTTGATGAACATTAGAGTCAAGTCAATTTTGACATTCTAAAAAAAGGATTGTCTAGCTTGCAATAACACAATTATCACATTTGGAAGGACTAAAAAAACAACTTGGAAGAGCTGAGAAGTTCAAATCAAGGGCCATACCTGCACCACTCTGACCAGAGATTCTGGGTACTTCTTGAAAACAGTTTGTAATGCATTAGCTGGTAGCCTGAGGAGTCAAGAAAATACACTGTTGTTAGACTGGGTATGAAGGGTTTTTTTACAAGAATGTAAAATGACATATTTCAGCCTTAATACTTTCATCTCCTTGTCACTGACCTGAGAATGGTACTCTTTTCCATTGCTCTGCATGACACAGTTTTGTATGGTGCTGGGTAGCCCTATGGGTGTCAGAAAAAACATTGTCACTTAAACATCAACTCTACACATCCTATTCTGTCTTTATATTTCAATATCTAAAAACAGACAAGATCTAGTAAAGGTACTTTTTTTTGTAAAATTTCATAATGTGTATGATGTATTTTGCTATTCATAATGGTAATGTTACTTACTGTGATGACATCAAGAATGCTGAGCAGACTGTGCACACTGTCTCCTGCAAGCACCTCCTTCATCTGCATTTCTGTGCCATCCTGCAAGGTGGAGCCATTGAGCAGAGGCTAAAGCGCTTGCATTTGTTTGCCATGTTGAAAACTGTAACTTAAAGCTCTATTTACATGTTAATATCTACATATATTTGTTGCTATAAACTCCTCTACATTTCCCTGTAACTAAGTATAGATTAGTTGTATTGTAGTGTAATGTAGATTTGAAAGAAAGCTACCAGTACTAATAGCACATATTGCGAAGTACAGGTAATATCAGTATAGGACTGAAAACAAAATTTTGGTACACAAATGTCTATCGTTAAGTTCTCACCTTTTCTGTGATGTAAACAGTCAGCTTGCCTTGTACCACCACAAAGATGCTGTCATCTGGCTGTTTAGACAGAATATAGGCAACATAGCATCAAATCTTTTCCCATATCATGAATAAAAACAATGACACCTTTTTGACTTGAGGAAATCACTCGTGTCAGAATGATACATTGCACAACAAAAGTTACCTGTCCGACTTTGAAGAGCATGTCCCCCTCATTGATACTGATAGTCTCCATGTGGCGACACAACTCCAGAAACATGGGCTTCTCAAAGTGACCAAACACCCTGGGAACAACAACATGCACACTTCATTCCAATGCCGTGTACATAATGAAAAATCATACTTTTGCCAATCACAAACATCAGATGTGATTCTTTATTGACACAACAAAAAAAAGTACAGAGACTTTTGTATGGTCTTCTACAACTAAAGATCTAACAAAGCTAAATACATGTGTGGATAACGTTATCTTACATACAGATCAAGCTCATCAGCACCCTTGATAATGGAGGTAATGTTACGGTGAAATACAGTAAATGTTCTATATTTATATGTGCAATTTAGAATGTTTTGTTGTATAGGCTGGCCCCCTTAAAAGCTTGTTATAATTTCTGAACTGCAATATTTCTTTTATTGTGCTATGAATTGTCAGTGGATTGGCGACATCAAGACTTTTATCAAACAAACAAATAAACAGATGTAGAACTGACCTGACAGAGTTGAGCATGTACATGACCTCTGGAGGCAGGTGGCTCTCCCCACTCTCTGTCAGATCTGCCTCCAGCAGGGCAGGCGGAGGTTCCTTCAGCTGAACACCTGGTTTGGACCCCTCCTTACGCAGACGCAGGATCCTGTAGAATGGACATTGTGGGGTACATAACTCACACTCACCTTTATTACATAATACAACACAATACAACAGAGTCAATGCCTTACAGTTTATGTGCCCTACATGTAAATATGGGGCTCACCAAACAAGAATGATACCAATTCTTCCCAGTTACCCCAGTTAAGGCCACAAAAGCTGCTTGGGTGGTATGTAAATGGTCATAAAATTGACAATCTATTTCTAGGAAGCAAACATCTTACTTCTTGACAAGCTGGACAAACTTCTGTCGCTTCTTTATCCTTGTCCGTGAAGAGGACCCTTGGACCACGACGGTGTTACTCACACTGGACTTCACCTGTAAAAAAAACATGGAAAACAATGAACTACAAGTTAGGCAGTCACTAACTTATTCTAGTAGTACCCTCTATACAACCTCGTAAGTAAGAAAAAGACTGTATCAATGAAAATCTGACAATCATCCACAAAGTGGCAGCAGGAAAGTTGACAGTTTGCAATCTAAAATGTGTGGATGCATGGAATGATGCCCACATCAACATCATGTCAGTAAAGATTACACCTGAGTATTGAACCTTTTTCTGTGACTATCATGCATAGCAATACAGCCAGTGTCATTCTATTTAAATATGATACTATTCATACTAATAGTGTTGCTTCGGAGAACTAGTTTGTGATCTGTGTGGGTGACTGTTATATTAGTGGCAGCAATTCCATGCATTGTAACAGTATTGCCCTAATGGTGTACACCATTTGTACATGTACATGTACATGTACCAATGGATTTAGGCACATTTTCTTGTTTCACGAAAAATCATGACCTATAATCATAAAATAGAATTAATCTACCATCATGTCCGATATATTTACAGTTTATTACAGTAGTAACAAAACAAAATTTATGATCTTATTATGATGTAGGGAATCTACTACTAGGTGTTAGATGCTACTATACAACCCACTCATGTAATAATTCTAGCAGTATACATATTAAATTAAAATTTGATAATTGCAAACATGGTAAAGACAACTACTTTGGGGCATTCAAAATGTGCAGGTGAGTGAGGAACACAACAAGCTTAGGTCTCATTTACTCATACATGTATATTGGACTCAAATTAGGTTCAAGATTGGTTGTCCTACTAACTTTAGGCTGAAACATATTTCAGACAACAAAAACCAGACAAAAAAGTATGCGTCTAGATTGTCCTATCCTTTTATGTGTCCTTTTTATTCATTGTTATTTGCTTTGATGGACAATAATACAGGATATACTATTTTGACATCCTACAAATATCAACCAGTTGAAATGTCAATATATCAGATAGTCCACGACAACCACTTGATTTAATTTGAGCCTTGCAGACTTTACAAAATACAACTAAGGGTGGGTGCATTATACAATCTTCAGTCAAGTTCAAACAAAAACTCAGGCAAATGAAGGGAAGCTGGATTACAGCACTGGGGTCGTCAGTTTCCTGTGTCTGTAGGGGAAGACGTTCCATAAATCGGATCTTCAGGATGGAAATAGGGCAGGGAAAATGGAAATATGTCATGTAAATCTGGTAAATGATAGGTATAGGTACTACGGCTACACTAATATGCTATCATGTCATGACAAATAAAGAAGTGAAAAAGAAAAGGAAAGAAGGAGAATACGGTTTCTTGTGGAGTGCGCCATGTGGAAAGCTGATGGTAGGGATGAGGGAAAATCTGTTAGTACAAGGGATGTGAAAATTTGTGAAATGCAATGGAACAAAATAAAATAAAGAAAACAAATCATTGAAAGAATGCAAAACCAAGCTATCATAGATTGTATGCTCAAAATTAGTGGCTTTTCATTTTCAGAAAATTATGTACTATATGCAAATACACAAATTCAGACTCTAGTACTGATATGGAAAGAAGTTGGTCACTTATCAAACAGGAATTTTGGCATATGGTTAAAAAAATGGAGCTCATGTGACTGAGGATCACTCACCTTCCGCATGACTTTTCTACCATAAAACATGATCTTATCCCTTTTACGGAAGCGGTATTTCACTGGGGGAGGGTGGCCAATGACTGCAAATAAAGAAAAAACATGTTAATAGAAGTCAGTCTGTAACTTGAATGCTGGGCAACAGCCAAATGACGTCAGCCTGCTCCTGCCACTTACAGTAAATCAAAATCATTTCTGTCAACATTTCGTGTTGAAACACCAAGTCACTAAATAATGAATGTCATGAAAAGCCAAAAATGCGTGGATCCAAATGCACAGATTTCTAGTGATCTGTGATTACTGTCCAAGCAGAGGTTTGGTGGGGAAGATTTTGACCTTTTTATCACCTATGCCTCATTTTGTGTGGCTACTCTCCACAACTGCTACAACCATGGTTGGGCATACAATAGAAAGGTGTCAGCCTTCCCCCACTAACCTCTGCTTGGAGAGTAATCTCTAATGCCCAGTGGGGACTAGTACAGTCCTGTCATGGTCGGCTGGCTAAGCAGTAAAATGCTTACATCACCACTTTGCACCTATTAGATAGTAATTAGTGGACATCAAAGAACATGGATCGACTCCATAAACAGCTGAGCATGAGTTGCAAATTGTAATTTATGTGGCCAGCTACATGTAACTCTGGCCAATTTATACTATAGTATTCTACCAGTAACACACAGAGTCTGTTAGAGACTAGAATTATAGGTTTGTTAGTGTCTATGAAATTATGATGGTTTCATAAACACTAACGAACACAATAGCGTAGAGAAGAGACGTCCTCAGCCAAGAAGGAACTGCAGGAATCCTTACCTTTTGTCTTGACCTTCTTCAGACACATGAACAACCCGGTAACAATCCCACAAACCACCAGGCTTACAAGGATGATGATCGTCTGAGGGAAAAATATTAGAAGAATGTTGTTGTTTTTATTGTTTTTCTCAATCCTTTGTGACACAATCTCTGCCATATTTTTGCACACATAGCATTTATCCATCCAGTCTAGTTTTAACCTCAAAGGCAAGGGGCTATAGGGGATCCTACAGTACACATACAAGGGAAATGTCACATGTGTCATGTACAAATGTATATCCAGTATATCAGTATCACCGTATCAGTCACATATGGTATCGATCGAGCCTTTTTCGTCACTACGTATACCCGCTATTATTGTATCTAGTAGCAAAAGTACCGAAGTAACGGGCCCCTTTCTCAGCACTCGGTATACAGAGGTGAGGCGGCTTCCGTCCTAGATCTCCAGTGCCGAAGTTACGTCAACACTTGGTGCCCAGTGTCGGCGGCTTCAGTACTGGAAACTCTAAATCGGCAAATCAAACCTTGTCTTTAGAAATGGTATCGAGATGCCGCCTTTGAACTCTAACACTTATATTTTCGAGATCGTACCGCCCGGGAAGCAAATTATAATCGGGGCGACAAGGTGGTCGGCAGGACAATACTGCAAGGCTCAGATCCTCACATTTTTACAGACGTAGACTTGGCCTACGATACTGTACTGTACGCCGCGCGGCCGACGTAAGCACCAGAGGCCCAGTGCCGAAATGGTTTGAGAACTCGGCTCCCAGCGCCAAGAGTCACCGAGCACTGGAACGATCCAGTGAGGAACCCGTTACTTAGGGACTTCAGCACTTGCTATCCAGTGGTGAACGGCCTCCGAGCACTGGTAGCGAGTGCCGAGTGGAATAAGCGCTCGCTATCCAGTGGTGAACGGCCTCCGAGCTCTGGCAAACGAGTGCTGAGTGGAAGTTAGCACCAGAAAACGAGTGCCGAGTCAAGATTCAGCTCTGGAATTCCAGTCCTGACGGTGTTTCAGCACTGGAACAAAGCCGTTTCTGCACCAGAATTCCAGTGCGGAGCTTTCTTCCGAACAGGGCCCCGAGTGTCGACGCCACTTTCCCCGTGAGTTCGGCACTGGGCGGCCAGTGAGGAACCCGTTACTTCGGTACCCTTGCTATCTAGTATATATGTGCTTTAAAAGCAAAACTTGTTTCTTCAGCTGTAATTGCAAACAGTACAAATTCTAGCGTGGTAAATCTGGTCACATCCTTTACTATGATGACCTCATTTTAGAAGAATCACGTATTTTTCATGCATAATTTGCAGGATTTAGGTGAAGGTCGAAAAGGGGACACGTATTTTATCGTCTTTTCTGCAAGTTCTCGACACTACGTACATCACCCAAAGCGATACATAGGTTCTTTGAAGCATCAAGGATTAAACAAAGGGAGTCTTACCCATGGAACGTCCACGAAGAAGTAAAGTAAAGACTCTGAAGAAGAAAGCGCTGGAAGACCTCCCTGTTCGGCCGCCATTTTGAATGTTTTGACTATTTGGACGAGCTCAATGACAATACTGGAGGGGGGGCAGCTGTGTTTATTCCCAGGAGAGCTTTTGAAATCTATCCTGCGTACATAAAAATTGATAAGGAGGAATTTACTGGAACTCAATATATTCAAAAGATAATTTATATAATATATATCGTGCGTAAGATTGCTCTGCATTTTATAAGATATTGTGGTAATATTTGAAATCCCCCTATAAGAATAATGATTAATAGTAGGTTCGGAATATATTCAGACAAGATAACTTTGTCAATGTTGACAGCGTATCTTTTTCTCCTCTTCATCAGGAAGCTCTGTAGTCTTACTGTTGAACAAGTTTTGCTCAGAATTTGCTGTTCGTTCTTTTTCAAAAGCAGTGAAACTCTGACGTTGGCGAAGAAGTCGTTTGGAGCACCATAAAATGTCATTTTAATGACGTCATACGACACGCCCCTTTTGGCGGGAAGTTAAAGCACTAACAGCCAGCTGGAGCAGAGGTAACGTCGGTAACGTTAACGTTTGTTTTCGGTGATTTTTAGCTAAAGTTACACATAAATTGATTGTATGTTTTAGGTGGTACTTTGTAGGTTACAAAACACACACTGCAGGAACAGATTAGCATTTGAATGCCACTGGGTAAATGGGAAAATGAGTTTTGTATAGATCAGATGTCACTTGATTCCCCCAGGGACATTAAATGGTGACAATGATAACATTACCCCCAGCCCAGCAACAATCTCGATCTCTAGTGATCTATCAAGCTTTCTACTGATTTATTTATAGATGGAGTCTATTTTATATTTGCTTTAATGATAAAGAAAGTGTACCTGACAAATAATGATTCCCCTATTGAAAAATGCCTTTAAAAAGTCCAGTGTCACTGATCATGAGTGTTTGCTGTTGTTGATTTTAGTGTGCCCAGCATTTAGATGTTCGGTATTCAATCAAAGAAAGATTAGATAAGGCTCTTGTTATTTATTCATGAAATTTTACAGTACAATTTGTATTTATATGTCATTATTATGAAGATCATAATCCAATTTCTTTGATTACAGTTTCCACAATTCTTCATCTACATGTAACCGTTAACAACTTTTAGTAGTTTTTACATCTTAATCATCAAACTTGGACATGGTAAATTTCCTTATTATGAATTGACAATTATTCGGTGAGAAAAAAGATTAAAAATACTAAAACATAAACACTAATTCACACACTTCTCCACCTTTAATAGCTTTTTCAGAATGCAGACCTCCCTAGAAGAGTCAGCCGTTGAGTACCTGGACAGAACAGGAGCTCTACAGAAACTCCTCCAGGACTGTAGAGCTCGAGCTGAGATAGAGAGTACCCAGGACAAGCCCAGCGCAGTGTTCCGTTTTATCCTGACTGTGGACCCTGTAGATCTGGTCAACTTTGACTCCACTCTGGGAAACCTGGTCCTCCATTACCCCCTGGATGCTGGGAGAATCTTCCAAGATGTTGTGTACTTTTCTATAAAGGCGTTGGACTTGATTCCACAGGTGGAGTCTCGCAATCAGGTATATTAAACGGGAAATTATTAGATTATTGATTAGTTTATTGACTAGCAGCTTGTCTCCAGGCACATTTTTCTTTTATTCTTTATAATTATGAATTAAATATAAGCTACAAAATGGCTCATTGTCTGTTCATGAAAAAATGAACATCTAGTACAGTTACATTTCATTAATGATTTATTAACTGAATTGTTAACTCTATTGTAGCTAGAGGCACACCAACATCTTAGATGTATCACATGACTAATCTACAAATACATGTATAATAAGATGCCTTTTTGATGACCCCTTTTAATTTCTTACCCAGATCCTGGTCCACCTTTCCATCCCAACCCTTCCCTCCCTCCCATCCTACTCACTCAACCTCACCGACTTGTCTTGTCAGGCAGTGCAGCAGAGGTAGCAGTAGCTGGATTCAAAATTTTGTCAAAAGTTCCAGTTACCACATGTGTTTTATTGTCAAAGCATCTCTCTTCTATTATGGTTTTGTGCTTAGACATTATAAATGTTGACTTGAGTTGTACCTAGAGTAAAGTTTTGCATAGATCATATGATCATATGAAGGATGTAAGAATGTTTTGATGATTATAATTTCTTAGGGAGAAGAAAATTAACTTCACTAAATACATAATGTTGCTTGGTTGAATCCATGAGAGAACTTCACTGTCACGATGGATTTTTACCATTGCAGGTACTTCCAGTTTGAAGGCATAGTGAGTTCCATGACCAATGTGATACAGTACACCCAAAGTGCGCGGTACCAGTGCCCAGAGTCAGGATGTGTGGGTTCAGAACCTTACACCTACATCAGACTGCACACAGCAGGGGCCAGCGAGTCCAGGACTATCAGGTAGGGGTGGTCAGCAGAGGCATAGGCTTGGAGTCAGTTAGAAAGATTCTCTGTCATTTGTACAGTGCAATTTAATGCACTCCTAATTGATCCTTACACCAGACAAATGCAGAGGATTCATGTATTGCAACCTTTACTCTTCAAATAGATTGATACATAGAGTCTGACATTTTAAAGCCTTTTATACCTTTTCTAGATTTGTAGGTCATTTAGACTCCAAAAAGCACAGGACTGCATGTGTGCTTTCCAGAATGTTGTCACATGTAACAGAAAACATTGCAGGAGGAACTAGGGCCTAGAAACTAACTTCTGTGCTGATCCTCTTTAGACCAGACTTTCAGTGCCATTACTGTGGAAACACTCTAGAGGAGGACATCTCATGTCGAATCTTGGCAGACAAGAGGGTTGTGAAGATGCTGGACCCTGCTGCGATGTCTGGTCTCTCCTGGTCTCCTGATGATACAGCAGGCAGGAGACACCAGGCTGTTACTGTGTTCCTCAGGGAGGAACTGGTACAGGGGATACAGATGGGAGGGTGCTACACTGTGGTAGGTGAGTGCAAAAATATTTTGGAGTAAACAATTTTGCATTTAGCTATGTAGATTTATTGCTTCAGTCCAAAGTGTTTACTTTGCAGAATTCATTGTGTCATCTGATGATAAAATTAGACATTTTCATGGCACCATTCAAACATGGCTTAAAAGCCAAAAGCAAGGTTGAACCATATCAACAATCATCTACAATATATTGTACAAATGGCATTTTAGAAAAATCAATCTCAGTTGCTGTCATACTATTTGCAGGTATCCCTACAATAGACAGATACAGGGGAGATATCACCATGTCTATCGAGGCAAATTCTGTAGTTAAACAAGCTGTCCAGCCATCTTCGACTTTAGTCCTCCCTGATAGTGTGGCAAGGCTGTACCAGGACAGACTGGGCTCTCCTTACAGCTTTGCAGGTATGAAATAAACATTTATTGACTTCCTTTGTATCAGAGTAGTGCTACATTTAGAACCAGAGACAAAGATGGTAGAGTTAGTGTGTGTGATTCAGCACCAAGGACAGGGATGGCAGAGTTAGTGTGTGTCATTCAGCACTAAGGACAGGGATGGCAGAGTTAGCGTGTGTCATTCAGCACTAAGGACAGGGATGGTAGAGTTAGTATGTGTCATTCAGCACCAGGGACAGGGAAGGTAGAGTTAGTATGTGTCATTCAGCACCAAGGACAGGGAAGGTAGAGTTAGTATGTGTCATTCAGCACCATGGACAGGGAAGGTAGAGTTAGTATGTGTCATTCAGCACCAGGGACAGGGATGGTAGAGTTAGTATGTATCATTCAGCACCAAGGAGAGGTATAAATTTGTCTTTCTTATTTTCAGCCAGCCTGGCCTTTGCATTTGCATCATCAGTGAGCCCTCCAGGCACCTACCACAAGCTAAAAATGAGCATGCTGCTAAGCCTGGTGTCAACACATTCTAATGACAAGGTTGTACATACTTCATTTTCTTTTAATTTATTAGACTTATATTTCCCATTCCAATTTAGCAAGCAGAGTCAGAGTTGGATGCCTGAAGAATACTATTCAATGCTGTGCTTGCACTTCCTTATATCCTGAAGTAAAGATAACTTATTATGGTCCGTTATAATTCTGCACAGGTTAAAGAGGAGAAAGACAGTGGAGGTCTCCATGTGATGGCAGTAGGTAGTGACACCCTGGTGCTGTCCAGACTGCTGACCTACTGTGCTGCCATGTCCACACAATGTGTACACCACACTGCAGACAAGCACCTCTTTGCTAAGGTTACTAAAGACACCCATGGCACTGGTAGGTTTCAAAACTATGACCTTAAACTTACCATAACTTAATTGTTTCAGAGTTGGAGAGAGTTTTTTTATTGGTCAGTCACTTTATGCTAAAGATCATCAGAGAAATTTGTAAAGCTTTACAAAGTCATATACATTATATATTGACAGAGCCCATAGTGGCACTGAACAACATACAACATGCAAAAAACCTAGCCTTTTCACTCAGATGTTGAATCTCTCTGTAGGGACTTGCAGCATCGATGCAGGCTCCCTCCTCCTGAGCCATGGAGGCTGCTGTTTCCTAGGAGACCTGGGACAGGTGAAGAGAGATGTCCAGTCTAGTCTGCAGGGGGTCATGGAGAAGGAAGCTGTCACTGTGCAGGTCTTTTGTTTTCTTTTGGTATCTGCTTGCAATCAACATGCCATTTGCCAGTTTTCAGTCTGAGAAGATTATGTTAATACATTGTGCCAAAAAAAATCCACAGTTACACATGTTATGTTTTTGCAAAGGTTTTCAAAATCTTATCATGCCAGCATCAGCTATACAGTTCATGATATATATTATGTAATACACTGATAATCTTTCTTCCAGATGAAAAACCATGCAGACCAGTCTTATCAGATAGTCTAATTTGTTTTCAGATACCCAAGAAGTATGGCGACAGTGGAGTACTCCAGAGTTTAGAACTGCCCATCAGGTGTAGCATTTGGGCCTACACAGACCCAAACAGCTGCAAGAAGCCAGCTGCAGCTGCAGCTGCAGACCTCTTCCTCCAACAGGTGATGTCTGTGACTGTAATTCTTAGCCTTTACACCACATGACAAAAGTAATAAGTTAAACTTAAAAGACAAATGGTATAGAAGTTTGCTTCAACTTCAATGCATTTAAGGAAAACCAACCCTGGGATGCTACTAGTAGACATTATAAAATTAATGTATATTGAAGTCTTTTGAAGATTCTTATTTTGTTGTCTTGTGAACCATGTAGGAACTAGGCAACATTTCCAAGACCCTGGCTGACTGCTTCAGTCTGGTGTGCTACACTGACAGTACCAGTGAGGCAGGGGACATGTATGCAGAGAGCCTGCTGGTGGAGGACATTCTGAACTGTGCAACGCTTGAGGAAGAAGACCTGGAGAATGTTGGTGAGCTTCTTAGTGCAAAGGACATCAAACAGGTAAATCAAAACAAATCTCTCTCTCTCTCTCTTTCACTGTGTTCTGCATCTCCAATGAGTCGTGCAGTTACTGGTAGTTGAAAATTGAACACTGTTTGTATAATGCCTTAGTTTATGCTTTCACCAAGACCCATGTGTCAAGTTAGATTGAGTCTGATGACAGAAACATTGATACTTTTTACTTTTACAGTTTTAATACTTGTACAGAACATGCACTGAACATGAGTTCAGTTCTAGATCTGTCTCATTTTTTATGATTATTTCTATGGGTAAAAAGCTTGCACACCTGTAGTGGTTATGTGTAAGGGCTTATATACGATGTGATTTAGTATATAACAAATGTAAACCATGGACTTTTCCTTGAACCTGTAGTTTCTCCAGGTTGCGTGCTGCCTGCAGCCCCAGCTGACCCCCACGGCTGAGTACCTGATCCAGGGGTACTTTGTCTCCTCACGCAGACTGAGGTCCAACAGCATCCAGAGCTGCCCCTTCCCTCCCACAGCTCTCAGAACTATCACTGCTGTAGCTGGGGCTCATGCAAAGTAAGGAAAGAGATTAATTGGTTCTATGGTGTTTGTTAAGGCCACAGCAAGTAATCTTTATGTCTTATATATAAGTCTTGACTTCAGAACGCACATTAATTTTAGCCTGATTTGGGGGGATTTTGAAAGTGGTAAACATGCTGAAAATGGGCAAAGATGTCTGTTGCCATGCCCGAACGTGGATGGCAGATAAATATGTCATCCATAAAATTTACTTGCTGTGGCCTAGTGTTGTCTTTTGTAGCATGATATTGTGATGGTGAAAGGAATGAGCTTGTTTCTTTGTGGCAGTGCCGTCATTAGCAAAGAAAAGTAAGTAATAGGTAAAAAAAGGTAGAAAAGAAAAGAAGAAAGCTGATAATGGTAGAAATCAAAGGAAAACTTGCAAAATGTTATTCTCTTCACTTGACAGAATTATGATCAATACTAATCACACTAAGTTTTTTTTTTTCATGATTGATACTGTCCTTTGTATCCATAAGATACATTGAGATGTGCTGGGCAGTCCATCTTTATTTCAATGGTATTGTGATCTATGTAAAATGCAGACTGAGCCTGAGAACCTATGTAGCAGAGGAGGATGCTCTGATGTCCATCTACCTGTTTGAGGAATCTGTGACTTCTAGATATGGATACTCCATCCTAGGGGTACAGCCCACTCCTCATTTTAGACATGGCAACATCGCACAGTACCTGGGAAAGGAAGTAAGTCAACTTTTCCTATAAAAGTGGTCATCCATTGTTAAACTGGTCGGTCCTTTCGTCAGCATTGGTGAGATCTAAATCAACTATTAGTAAATGTCTTGGAGCATTTTGTATCACAAAGCTTAATAATAGACAAAAGTCATTGCAAATCCTTGTTGGGGGATTTGATTCTATAGAAATCAGATTTTAGAAGTTCCCTTGCAGCTTCCTTTTGAACTGCACATAATGATTGCTGAATTGGCAGAAATTTGAACTCTCTTTGTACTAATCTAATGTGATTTGTTGTTAGATCCTGTCCTATGACTGTGGGAGAAGTGGGCATACCTATGATATTGATGATGATACCTGTTATTTACCATCATTTACCCATCCCACTGTTATCTTGTCTGCAGAATGACACACAGATGGAACACTTCCACCTGCAGCTGCTGAGGCTGATCTCCAGTCATGCTCAGGACCTCACCATCAAGCAGCCAGAGGAGTGAGGTGGAAGTCCCAGAGCAATTCATTAGAATATGGTTCAGATTTAGACTGCCTGTCATCGTGTATATCATTTGTCTGGAAATGTCTGATTTAATACACTGTCAGGTTTCAAAGGCACTTAAAAGTGTTACATAATTCTTACGACATAAGTTGGACAGGAACTTGGAGTTGGAATTTAAATTATTTTCAATGTTTGAATTTTTTCCAGTTTATCCTACATGTACATGTAGCTGTGACATTTTTCCTGTTACGTACTGAGATGTTACTACAATTTGTGCAATAGAGCTATTTCCCACAGGCCTTTTCTCATACAGATTTAATCAAATTTAAACACAATACACACAAAGATAAAATCATACAAGGCAGTTTATTCTAGCTTCAAAAATGTCTTCCATTACATGTACAAATGTATCACTTATCAGCTGGTCAGTGTGGTAAGGTTCAGATTTTACATTTGTATCTCTAAGCGTATTACAGCATCTGAAGTTTCTAAAATGAACTTTAACTTGAATGTATCATTTACCTAGTACATTTTTCTCTAGTACATGCACTAATTATTTTGAATAATAGTTAGTATCTACATTTTGCACAGCCTAGGAATGCATCACTTCAAAACCAGCAATATTCTGTTAAGAACAGTTAAACAATTCCATTGTTTGTAGATCTCATCTAGTATCATCTGGTGGACAATCATAACCTCCAATGAATAGATATTTCTGAATATAAATTTCAAGCTAGGTTAAAAATCTGAGATAAATGATTTTGCCCATTTTTTTAGCATTACAATACTAAGTTAAAGTTGAAGGATTGTTCAAAGATGTAGAATCAAGATCAAGAACTTTATAAAGTCCCAGTGGTACAATTTAGCTGTAACATTATTTTCGGGTACAGACTTGAATAAGGTAGCATTTGAATTATACATCATTTGTAAAGATGCTGAAAGCAACATGCAATCTTCAAACACCAAAACCTTTTCCCTTTTATACTACAGTAACATTAATTGTAGTGATGAGGATGGCATGTATAACACAATCATCCTGTCTAGACCCAGGCCATGTAGCGATCGTGGAGCCAGCCCAGCCAGGTAGGCATGCCCTTCTCCCCCTGTGGCTGCCCTATCTTACCCGCCATCTCGGGAGCGAAGCGGTACAGGACTCGGAGGGGCCACAGCAGCCCGTGGGCCACGGCAGGCGGGAACATCTCCGTGTAGGTGGAAACGCAGACGCCGTCCACCACGAGGGACCCTCCCAGGGTGTGGGGGCAGTACAGGCCTCGCTTCAGCTCGGTCTTGACCTCCGTGACCTCTTCGGGATGAGGGGTTTGGTCTGGTCCATCCACCACGTGCACCACATCCCCAACCTTTCCAAAGAAATCAAATCAAATCAAGGTGGTTTAAATACATAATTTATATATACCTCCTTGTAAGTGAAATGGCAGTCATGTACATGACATTGTACATATATACGATTCACTGAATTGCATTGACTTTCACACATCACACTGACTGATACAAATGTTATAAAACATTGAAAAGATATTATAGTTATATACATAAGACCATTAGGATTAATTATGATAAGATTTCTAATTACATATAATTTAAGACAATGTATGGATTAAAATCAAGATTTTGAAATTCTTCCACTGACCTTCACCTGGCGAGCGGTGACCAGTACGCCGGTCTTCAGGGCGTCCGTCCCCACGTAGAGGTAGTGTCCCTCCGACAGGTGCAGGGTCTTCCCGCCGGTGGTCGTCATGGAGACGAAAGGAGCGATGACGTCCTCGGAGGCGTGGCTGAAGAAGTACACGGTGTCCAGGCTGGCAGGTGTGGTATCGTTGTCAGGAATGGAGAGGACCTTGGTGCCAAGCTGCAGACTTGCCATCTTCTCAGGATGCTTTCCATCGATCAGAATGGTAGATGTGGCAGGGAAGCAAGCGCCTGCAGCACTGGTGATCTCAGGGATCCTGTATGCTACGTTGTCTGCATTCCTCATGACGTCCCGAACGCGTTTGACGAGCTGATCACGCTGTTCATTTGCTGCATTATCTCTTAGCTTGTTGTTGAATCGGACATACCTGAAAGATGCCCAAGTTGATATTAAAATGTAGACTTATGTGAGAGAGAGGATAGTCTTCTTCGCCATTATTATTTGTTCCTGTACTGTAATTTTCCTAATATCACTGATAATATGATTTAGATGATTCTTTATCATTTTGTTATCTGGAACAATTTTATGTCGTTTCGAAGCTACATAATCCCAAAGAATTTTTTTCTTTTGTCTCATTGTTTTATTTTTCTATGCAGACAGATACTCGCTGCACCTACCGTTGCTTCACTTTCTGTAGAACATCTTTGAAATATGGTGGCTGTGAGTCAATGTATTGATTGAAATGGTTGAGTTGCTCATCCTCTTTTGCTTCGTCGAATTTATCCCCATGCGTGAAGATGACAATGCCATACTTAAACAAGTCATCTCCAAACAGGGTTTTCAGGTGGCCGATTGAGGTCTCCTCCTCCTTGGTGAACTTTTGACCAAATGGTATCACCAGGAGAACGGCGTTGACACCATTTGGGCACAGCTGACGGCATTTGGAGATTTCTTCAAGGGTCGTATCCCCCTTGGCATCTGTGTCCATCACACCCGGGGTGTCAATGACGTGGAAACGGATGTCATTGATCTATGGAGAACATCATAAGCTATTAGGCCCAAAATTACATGTATGTACACCACATACTCCCAGTCCCAACAGCTTTTGACAAAATAAAAATGATTAACTTAACACTTCCAGGAAATTTAACTTTGAAGCTCCGATGCAGTACCGTACATAGCCGCCAGGAGGCCCATTATCGAACAAAGTTTGTCTTTGCTGCCCCTACGCATACCCTTGATATCATGAACAACCATTCAAAGCTTTTTGAGTTATGTTGAACACAAACAAAAACTCAGACGAACACAATCCGCTGCAGCAATGTGGGAACATGACAGGTGAACCATTTTGGAACTTGACATTTGTCATATTATTGACATTTGACATATTACTCACCCCTACCATATATCTTTAAGACCTATTCACAGCTTCTTGAGTTATTCTGTACACATACAAACAATGCATAAAAAGCCCACTGCAGTACTGTTGGAAAATGCCAGATGAACCAATTTTGAAATTAACCTTTGTTTCCACAATCACTTACTTATATATCAAAATATCCATAGCTTCTTGGGTTATGCTGAATATGAATGCAAATATACTTGTCTTGATGTCTGTATAATCTTAACAAAGAGCAACATTTTTTTCTCATATTCAATCTAAATTGCAATTGTCTGGAATCTTGCTAGGGTCGACGTCTTTCTGTATTGCGGACCATCGTGGTCACGTGTTTCAAAGGACTTTTTAGGACAAGTATAAAAAAAAAGCTTTGCAACGTAAACTTTATCAGAAAACTATCGAATTTCAGCTAAAGCCATCCTGTTGTGACGTCTAAACCAACTGTGATGGGTTTTGTTACTATCTACCTCATCTGTATGAAATTCTAAAGATTTATGAAGCCTGCGTGACCCTACGATGATACTGATGTGATCAATGGCGCGACGTACAATATAAGCAACATTCCTGGTCATGTTCACACTAAAAAACAATAGTTCCACGATCTAATACCTTCGCCAAATGATGTTAACCCTTGCGGGTGACGAATTAATTATACAATTTTAATAATTGATTTTGTAAATAAGCACCTCATTTGCATGGATTATATCAGTTGATCATATTCTCCAGCCAATGACATCCTTATCTTAACAAACAGGATATCATAGCACTGCCTCATAAATTATGCAAATGAGGTCATGATTTAAATACATTATGTTTATTGATGTTCACCTTCACTTAACTTCCAAATGTGGCAAGTATGAATTCCCAGCAGTTACAACTATGAAATTATAAACATTTGCCATTAAGTATGCAAATTAGGTCCTCATTTACATAACATATATCCTCAGATGTTTTTTCTCGTTCTCAAGTAGATGTCAGAAGTGTTTCATAGTTCTATCATCGAACAAAGCAGATTTATAGAATTTCCTCATTAATTATGCAAATTAGCTCCTGATTTGCATAATTGTCATCTGATTATGTCAAGCATCACTTCAACTACCTACATACCAAAAATCACGACAATCCGTCAACCGGTTCTTGAGTTATCCTCCTTCGAAAATTTTTCAACAAATGCTCCTGCAGTTCTAGAGCAAGCCGCTAGGGGACCCAAACTCATGTCACTTCTTCCCTATCCCAAGAGCTATCTGCCATCCAAAATTCGTGACCCTAGCATGTCCAGATCACGAGATATCAAAACCGGAAGTTCTGCTGCAGTACCTAGGAAAGCCGCCAGGGGGGCCAAAATCTAATCGTTTCTATGTCTCATGAAGACCTACCCACCTACCAAGTTTCATTTCAATCCCTCCACTGCTTCTCGAGTTATCTTGCTAAACCACAAACACACACACACACACACACACACACAAACGCTACTGAAAACATAACCTTCTTGGCGAAGGTAAAAAGCTAAACTAGAGTGAAGCCCTACCCTTTAAATGCAGTCAAAGCTTACATATACATTGAACCAGCTTTTGTTTTCAAGGCGCCAGATCATGTTGCAGGTTGACCTACAAAATGGAGATTTATCTCAAACTTTGAAGCCCCGCTGCAATACTTGAAAAAGTCGCTAGGAGGCCCATTATTGAACTTGACCTGCATCTTTCCTGTCCCTACCTAACCACTAAATATCATTAACAACCATCCGCGTTTCCTCGAGTTATGTTGTACACAAACAAAAACCCCAATATACTAGTACACAACTCTCTGCAGCAACGTAGGAACATGATAGAATAACTATATTAAAACTTGAACATTGTTTCTATAACCGCTGCTCGCCTATATATTTGGTAGGCGAGCAGCGGTTATAGAAACAAAGTTCAAGTTTTAATATAGTTGCGGCGGCAGCTGGCTACATTACACCAAACGACTTAACCTTAACTGTGCATTGCAGTCCAGACTTACCCTTGCTGACTCTTTCATGGAGTGCTTTGTCGTTGATGATCCCAGTGGAGAGTATGCAAAGGCCTTGTTTTGGCCATATCGGCCCAGGATGCAGTTACCCAGGCGGCTCTTACCATGGCCAGTCTTCCCGACCATCACAATAGTGAGTTCAGACTATAATACAAACAAAACAAGATCTCATACCTCCATGAAATATTTAGAGGTTTTGTATTTTTTATTTGTCTCATTGATTATAGATTTCTGAAATAAGGTTGCAATTAGCATATTCTATTTTGATCTATTGTTTTCTGAAGTCAAATTTCATATATTTTACATGTTTAAGTCCTATCCTTTGGCGATGTTTTATTTCAACATTTCATCAACGATTATTCAAATTACATCCACATTAACATAATATATGAATAGTTATGTTAACCTTTGACTAACTCACATGTACCAAATATGAAATTCCCATCATTTACCACTAAGGAATCTTAGCATTATTATGCAAATTTGGCCATTATTTTCATAATTACCCACCAAGGAGGTTTAAAATCAATTGAATTTTAAACCTCCTTGGTCCTATTATATGAAACAATGGAATTACAGGGTTTCCTCAATAATTTTGCTAATTTGGTTCTAATTTACATAATTTGCACGTTATTTTGCATTTAAACTTTGTTTAAGCTACCAACATACAAAAATTATGAAAATATGTTGTTCCTTTCTGGGCGTCTCTACTTGGAAATTCGGAAACTTAGACGGACCAAATGGAGTGATCTAGGTTATGACTGACGGTCTGCTGGACCAAGACAATTGTACAACAGTTTTATTAGTAATTCAATGTATAGGTTCGAACATTTATTTTCAGAAGAGTGGTACCGGTCCGTTTTTCACGGGCCTTCTTTGGTCCGCCCGTGATCATGAAAAGATACTCCTTTAATATGAAATGGTTGAGGTAATGAGAAGGAGATTTACCATGACATGTATTCCCCACTCTTAAAACTGTAACTCGATTTTTTGTTATTGTACTTGAATGGGCAGTTTCGGAGAAACAGATCTAGAATGCCTTACAATTTCAAGTCTAAGAAAGGTTCCACAAAGACAAGATCAAAGTGTCGTATTCGAAAGTTATCATCTTTAGTGAATATAGCCAGTACAAGACTTACCATGCTGATGACCTTTTAATTACCCCAACAGGTCTTCATACATCTGGCGTAGTTTGGTGATCTTTATACTAAGACATCACATGATTATCGATTCTGAGTGTTGTTGAAATGGTCGAGACCAATTGTGCATATTAGAGGGATGGAGTTGAATATTGGAAAGGGATGATCCTTCGACATGTCAACAATGGGTATTATGTCTTGCACATAGATAATTGCGTAGCCACAATGTCTCTACATACCCATTGAGCTGTCGTTGCTTGTGTTTTTTTTTAATTCAAAGTAGTAACCTGTACCTGCTTTTGCAGTGGGCCATACTCTCTACTTCACCTTTGAGCGTTGATTAAAAATTGCCACGTCTTCATAATGTCTGTTTGAGTCACGAGTTAGAACAAAGGTCTTCCTGCTCTCCGTGAAGCTACGGTACCACTCAGCTGTTGGACTACCAAAATGGCGAAGGTTTGTTTGATTTTTGCAGCATTCAATGCGAGGCTCAGTAGGACTTTTTTTATCTGTTGAATCTGCTGATTTATGTCTTACACATACTTATCCATTCATACTTACCAGCATTAATATAGCTTTAAGCCAGAAAGAGACTTTCTAACATGCTGTTGACCCTGTCATTCAATGAACTGATATGAATGGTTTGTTTCTCGACAGGCGGAATCAACTAAGAAGACTACCACCTTGCTGTTGTTCGGGAAGACAGGAAGCGGCAGGAGTGCCACCGGGAACTCAATCTTGGGCCGGAAGGCGTTTGCTGTATCGCCCATGTTCAACACGACTACGAAATACCAGATAGAGACCTGTGAGCGAGACGGGAGGAACCTGAAGGTTGTCGACACTCCCGACATAACGGAAAGCCATGACCACCTCCCCGACAAGGATCCCGACCGGGAAGTCGCTAAGTGGCTGGTGGAGACCAAGGATGGCATCAATGCGATCCTCCTTATCCACAAATTCGGCGTGCGCTTCACCGACCAGCAGAAAACCCTCTTAGGAGCGTTGGTGAAATACTTTGGGAAGGACGTCTACGAACACTGCATAGTGGTCCTCACACACGGAGATCAAGCGGAGGAGGCCATGAAAGACGGATCTCTGACGTCCATCGAGGAATACGTGTCCGAAGAGTGGGGTGGTCTACCCAAGCTGATGGAAAAAGTCGACAACCGGCACGTCGTCTTCAACAACCGCGCCGAAGACGAAGACGAGAAGAAGAAACAAGTGGAACGCCTGATGGACCGTGTGGATGAGGTACGAGGCCAAAGTCCATACAAAAGCCCCTACTGCAGCGGTATCGCCGACTCACCTCCGACCACAGCCGACCCGGGGAGTGATGCAGCTGATGCTACCAACAAAAGCTCCGCCGATCCCAAATCTCTTTTTGAGGAACAGGTCGACAAAGTCCAGAAAGCACTCAAACCTTGGTATTCAAAGCTTCCGTCTTTTTCGTTTGGCAAAAAAGACTAATTTCGAGTCTAACGCAAACAGCAGAAATAGTTGTTGCATGAGATCTGACTGTGATTATTTCAATATTTTCACCACCAGTTGGTAAATACACGTAGAATGACCAACATACATGTATCAAAGACACTGGTATTGATTTTGATTGTTTAGAAAAAGCTATATCAGATAAGGATATAGGGAGAGAAATCTGTACTCGCTTGAGATAGATAGATCATCATAAGGGTTAGGGGTGCTGATACAAGTGTTCCTGTCATTGCAAGACTTTTACAAGTGGTTTGATGGAAGCGTGCGTAGTTCATTTGTTTTGTTTACGTCTATGTGTTTATCAAACACGTGTTTGGACGACTACAATATAATACTAGCATTATACTCTAGATCTGTGGCATGTAGGTGTTTACTAGTATCCAAATAGCATGGAGTATCAATATTAAAACAACAGAGACCAGTTTTACCAAGGTCAAAAGCATCATAAAAGAATGGTTAACCAAACGACCTTGTAGTTAGATCGATGGTGAACTTATAGTAGACATTAAAGAATTGTACAACTGGGTAATAACATTTTCATGCTTCCGGCCTCTGATATCTTCAGCTAATAAATGGCCAAATGAAATCGGTGTTTTTGTCATCTTTTATGGTGCAAAAACTCTACTGTACAAGATCTACATTTGGTTTCAGCTTGCTGCAATAATGGACAACATCGACAGGTGAATGAACTCATTTACAGTCATGACTTAACTTATTTATGGTTTGCATGTAAATAGGCCATATTTTCATTTCATTAACAAAGCTAATTAGTATAAGGGGGTGTAAGTCGGTTTAATGCAAGGGAGGTAGCCATGGTAGCGATCCAGACAAAAGAAGGACCAAAACTCTCAATTAACAATCCTCACTCAACTTTTTAAAACACGACCTTGCCACAGAACCCGAAATCGCTCTATTATACATCACTGTTGTTCTTTATTATACAAAGCTTTCCATCAAATCGTTTCATTTTTATTAATTGAAAACTCAATGAGGTGATCGCAGATCCCTTCTCTAAGTAGGGACGTCCCTCCCTAAGTTTGAGCCCTGAGTTTGAGGAACAGTTGGTCTTTGTTCTGGTACAGACACGCTCCTGGGGTAACCCTACCTGCCTTCAACTGCCAAGTCCAACCAGGCTCGCTAAGTCGATTGTTATGCTTGGAAAAGAAGTTTGTTTTTTGGGAGGCGGCAAAGCTCCTGGGTATTAAGGGGCGGTGCGGTAACTCTGCGGGTTGGGTATGTGGTTAGGTAATTGCGCATTTTACGCACTTTCTATGAAACAGACTTGTGCACACGCACTCTATACAAATTTCCCTTAAAACAGGATACTTGGTATGGGTGGTTCAAGTCTCTTTAGACCTATATTTAGAGCTAGCTTGAATAGTTTTTGAAGAGGAAAAAATCGATAACCAACAGTACAACCAGCTTAACAAAGAGATCATAAAGTTTCCAGGTTGTCTATACATCAATACAATGTCCTTGTCTATACCAATTACACGTTATTCTGTCCCACCCCACTCCGCTGCAGTAATGGTTCCCCCCGCTGGGGGTGAAGGCCAGCCCCTGGCTGCCAACCGTTTTGTAGTCTGTCTGTCGGATCGCCCTGACACCCAACAGCCTGCCACAAATACGCGCCGTGCGGAAAACTTGGGGAACAGGAAGTGAGGTCACACAAACAACGTCCACAGCACAAAACCATTCCTCGATCGAAGAAGATTGGAGAAAACTTGGCCTGCGGGGCTGTTTTGAGAACGTGTTTGTGAGAACGTAGTACTGAAGAAAGGGGTCAGCTACTAACGTTACCTGGAGAGTGTCAGAGTTCATACCGTACAGGTGGGACTTGAAGGTGTGACCAAGGAGGAAGTGTAAGAGTTGTGCTGTTCAACGAGAGAGCAGAAGGGGAACCTCTCAAAACCAGCCATGTCTAACGTACAAGGTGAGCTCACGTTGTAGCTAGACTGTAAATCACAGGTATGTGTGTTGCGTGTCTTCACTCAGGTGACACTTGCAAGCATGCAAGGTCACGATATACGACTGTCTGGTCGCGTAGTATCCGATACTACGCGACCAGACAGTCGTATGTAAATGGTTACTTTACTACTGGTCAGTATATCACAACATACACAAAATGCAACCAAATTTATATCGCATTCCCCTAAGTGTAAGTTCTGATTTTCGGAAAGGCACAAATCAGAACACTAATGAAACTTGAATGATCAGTGGCGGCGCCGGATAATACCTTTGGGACAGTTGAATGACGACAAGACTACAACAATGTAAATGCGCGTCAATGTTTTACCCAGTCGTGCAACAATCCGAGGAATGACAGCAAGTAGTAAATTGTAGCAGAGAGTTAGTCTTAATTAATGTTGCCCAATCAACTACGTAGTATAAAATGTCTCGTTAACGTTACGTGCATTTGAGGGGAACTACGGACGATCGGAATTGCTTTTGAGGTTCAGCAACCCAGAAGATATTCAGCTGACCTCATGTAATATGTTTTTGTGACACAAAACTCTCAACAAAAAAGTACAGGCTACCCTGGTGCCCCCTCTAGGTTAGCTTAACCCTCCCCCACTCCCAATGTTAACTTGAACTTTGGTCCTGGGAACAGGAAGGCCTCGCGGATTGCCTATGCTAGCAGTTATGCAGACTTCCATTTGTTTAACTGTTGCACTTCCTCATGTGTCTAGGTTTTACCCACTCTGTAAACACATCTAGCGAGGTCGACCCAGATTTAATGTGTCGCTTTTGTGTATGCACGGCTCAAGCCTCATTCATTCTCCTGTACTAGGAGGCCATTGTATGAATCCTTGTGCGTGATCTGGCAGAAACAATTGCATTACGTTACCTGAACCCCTCTGGGAAGCCATTATGAGGCCTGATCGTTAGAAGGTGTGTTAGGTAAACAATATCAGTATTCCAATCTCGGCGGGCCACAGAAAAAAGTGTAGTCTGTTCTGAGGGGCTGTTTCTGTGGGCATCGTGACAACCACGCCCACTTTCTTTCCTCCCCACGGCATTCCTACAACACCAGACTAAATATCAATATTGTGGACATATTCACCAGACTGGGAACTTCTCACGATTCCCTTTTCAATTCCTTACTTGGGATTGTTACCTACGGCAGACTGTGGGAGTCAAGGAAATTGCACTAATGCTCAAAGTGATGCATACAAAAAGACTCAGAAAATAAAAATGAAATCAAACATCTGCTTGGAGCTTAGTGGACCAATAATCTGTATAGTTTTCTTTAACTATTTCACGGCCACCACCTTTGTGAGCAATAACGATCGGTCCCCATCCATCCCAAATCTCGCCCATTCGTGACCCCCTCCTCCACCCCACAATAACGATCGCCCCCTCTTTATCACACTCGTCTAACCGTTGTGACGTTAAGGTTTTCTTTTCGTGATTCTTTCGTTGGTGCCACTTTTACGCATGGTACGAACAATGAGATTTGATAATCTGTAAAGCTTTAATAATCTCCTTGGTACGAAAAAGTACAGTAACGTAGAACCCTAAACTGTTTTGTCATGGCCTAACCCAATATCACCTGGGACACTTATTTCAATTCCAACCCATTGTACTGAGCCCTGCACTACAAATGAAAAGCTGACCGAAGTCGTTTACGACAAGAAATATTGTTCTCTTTGTTCACCATTAAATTTGTTTAAATTATTAATGTATACTAGCAGCAGCTTGCGGCATTGAGAAATATCTTTACTAGGATCCGGAGGTGAAGACCTTTGCTAGTGACTGTGTAGTACGGTTTCCTTCATAAAATCGATATGATGCAATTTGAAAGGAATCTGCAAGGTGGCCGTGGTCAATGTATCATCAATTCCGTAGCCATGGGTAGATGTTGCACCTAGAAAAATGGATACTTCATAATTAAAAGCTCGTTTAAACTTTTCAGGTATACCCTGTACACAAACTAACAAACGCAGTTGCAGGTATAGTAGAGGGGATTCATTCCTCAGCTAACCGACATCTCGCACACGCGGTCGTCCCTCGGTACGCCATCTGGAGCCGCATAGTTCCCGCTTAGAACTTTTATTCAGCCTGTCACACAGTTGCAGGTGTTTTGTTATGGACGGAACGCACAGCAACTTGTTACAAAGGAACGTTCCCTCGCATCGCCTCCAGTCATGGCTGTGGCTCCCGACCTCTGTGAAATTCTTGACATACTTCGTAACTATAGTTGGCGCTGTTCCAAACTCAGATGTACATTATACAGTACAGAACTCTCGGCCAACACAACCACTGCGTGCCGAGGGACACTCTGCAAGGGATGTGCTGTGTTTATGTTACATTTTTCAGTGGGCTACACAGCTCTGTTCCAGGGAAGGTATGTTGTTTCGGAAACAAGCGGCCCACCTCTTCCCGATATATGGACGGATTCTTTGTCATTACCGAATGATGACCCATTTTCCTCAGCTTGAGGGGATGACGGCGTTCTGTTGAATGTTGTTACCAATTACAAACTTGGTGATGAACAGGAAATCAAATATCCACAAGAAATGGAAGAAAAAAGCCGACAGAACAGCGAACAAAAAAAGCGCATTTACTCTTGTACTAACTTTAACAACAGTACCAGATATATCCGTAAGCACGACACGACTCCACTGCGCTGTGTATCTTTCTTTAAAAACGTTTAGCACACTCCCCTACGTTAAAGGAATTCGTTTGCACCATGCACGCTAAGTTGTTATAAATCTTCATTTCAAACAAACATCGAGCGTCCAGAGCCAAGTGCGCAAAAGCTACAGATGCTGTTGGCAGATTGGCGCATCAATTCCGTATTGTGTTTTTGCCACACATTTAGACATTAGACAGATTAGCCTTAGAGGCTCGATGGGCGTCATTCCACCGTACAGAGAGGGAAGTCCTACGTAGAAAGGAGTGGAAAATGAGGAAGACAAAAAATTGAGAAAAGGAATAAATACATGTAAATAAGTAAATATTGAGAAAATAGGTATTGACACACATTGTGAACATACTTTTTCTTCCTTGCAGTGTGAAGTGTTCCTCTTTTTCTCAGTGGAAACACAACATCTACCACCCACGCTATTGCCCACCTATTCCAACCTGTCCACACCTTTACCTGTCCACACCTTTACCTGTCCACACCTGAGCGGAAATGACGTTAACGTGACTGTGTGACCACAGGATGTGTCTTTGAACTACCTGTAAAGTCAGTTATTATCATGGACATATAGGGCAGAAGCACCCGTGTATCATGTCTATCTGTGAGCCGTTTCCTGGAGTTCCTCTTCAAGATCCCGGTGGGAGTTTCCCCGATCTAAATACTGGACTGTCTCAACTTAGAAATCATGCAGGGAATTCGTGCACGGAATGATTGCTCAATAATACACGTGGATAGTACCCTAGCTATTGTTACGCAATGTAATTTGTAGAAATATCTCTTATTTCATATTCTAAGCAATGTATTCATTATGAGTACAATAGACTATAGCATATTTGACGTTGCAATCTATACAAGTGATTGTGAATCACCCCTTGAATCGTAGTGGACCATTCCTTTGATGCGTCACATAGATTACGTAGGGGGCAGACCTGACTTATCATCATTATACGGAGCAGCAGGCGGAAGATAGGACGGCCCGGACTTTCTTCCTCGTTCCGCTTTCTTATCTTGCCCCAGCCAGCAGGCTTTCCTTTCAAAGCTAAGATTTTGCCTTGCCTTCTGAGACTGAAACATGCCGACGCTAGCTTCTGCCGATTCTTTGGACTACCAAGGTGGGTTCGGTGGTCATCGTAATACATGTACGAGTACCTGTCTTCTTTCTATTCGATAAAAAAGCAATGCAATTTTGGCTCACAGTTACTTCCTCCTGATCTGTGTTTGCTGCGCATACATATTTTCTATCTAATCATGACCGGTAAAATGTATGTTTCTTCGGAAATCAGTAGCTTTCAGGTTTCATCGTACATGTAATAGGATTTTTGCGTTGCCGGTGCACTGTTAACATGTTAGTCCATTTTACATATCTGTGTGACTCAGTGTGATAGAGAGCTACGCTCGTACCTGGTCACTTTGAGGAAGTAGCTAAAACATTAAATCTTTCTCTTCACTTCCTCCATAGGAATATTCTCTCAAGTTGTGTATTTTTGCTACGATTGTAGCCATTTTATTGCTTTGAATACCATAACTATCTGCGTGTGGCGATAGCTGTTGTTTACGACATCATGTAAGGACAAATGGTGTAATAACGTACAATAACGGTTTTAGTGCAGATTCTTGACTCGTTACATTTGCCCTCGCGACGTATCGTTCGTCTGACTTTCTGACAACCGTTGGTCGGATTTAACCATATATAGACTTGGACTTTTGGGTAGGATTTTCGAGAGGATATAATATTTCCTATAATGATATCTGTTATTGAAACAGCTGAGGGGACTAGACAAGATGTTGATTGTTTTGAAATGATGTACGTTAGTGTGAATCATACATGTTATGTATGTATGTATGCGCCAGCTGCAAGTGTCGCGCTCCCCACCCCTCCCCATTGTGTGCTCCATAACGTTCCCATTGCGCCCATCTGTCAGTCTGGTCCCACTCCCCGGTGTCAAGCCAAATACGTGATCCTGCCAAATACATGACTCCGACACTACTTGGGGGTTCCCAATATACCTGCGACTACTCTCGAAGCAGAGGTTCGGGTTTTGGCTTATTTTTGGTGTGTTTTGGGCCTTTTTTATGGAGTTTCTTTTTTGGACTGGAATTTTTTTACCCAACCCAGTGCAAAACAAACACGATAAAAAAGCCTTAAAACACGCCAAAAATACTCCAAAACCAAACCTCTAATTGGAGAGTAACCTGAGACAAGGGGTGGGAAGGGTTTGGTCGTGATATGGAAGACTAAACCTAACCTAACTCCAATCGTGAGTCTAACCCTAGTCCTGAACAATGATCCCAACCTTAACCCTAACTGTTATACCAACCCTAACCCTAACGTATGTGGCAGCGCAAGGATTTGGCACTGTTGCGCCATCACTACAGCCACTTAACGCGTCTCCTCACGTATATAGGAACACAGCAATTACAACACAGGCGTTTAAATCACGGACAATGTAAAATGCGTGTTTGGTGTAGCTGGTCTATTTGTCTACGCGTGATATTGAGAAATCTTAATATTAAGGTGTCCAACTTTCCCAGAGGGTTGTAGAAATTTTGATTCAGATCAGTCACGCCCAATAAAATCATGTACCGCTGAGCGATAAATCGTCATATTCTATGCATCGCCTGGCCTTGGTGACAAGTGCTGTTGCCTGGTCACGAATGCTGTGATTTTTAAAAAGTTCACTTGCAACTCGTTTAGTGCAACAATGATTAACGTTGTAGCTACTTTATACTGTCTAGTACCAATACACGTATATAGAGTTCCGAACAGAAGATACAGTATGCAGTATCTACACCTGCTGCGATATATACAGAGAAAGATCACGGATCCGGAACGCTGGCCATTTAACGCCCATTTCCCTATCCCCAGGGCCACTAGACCTGACACGGGCGCATTAAATCAACCACATCCCCGCTATTAGAGCGGCGCTCCCGGCACACATGTGGGACAGTGACTCAGTAATGACTCACACATGCCGGGATTATGTCATTACTGAGCTCACCTGGGGACGGGGATTCCCCTGACTGCCATATATGGAGGAACCATATCGATTGCCGGAATAGATACCTATCATGATCATGTTTCTAACTATCATCGTCAGATTCTGTGCCGTGTGTACCAGTACTAGAACATATTTTTCTTATTTTTGACCAGGCGTTATTAAGACTAGCCTGAGTGTCAGCTTTTTAGGGCTAGCTTTCCGGCCGGTAGCGGATCGTGGGGAGCGGACGAAAGCTAAACAGGCTGACACTCAGGCTAGCGTATGACCTTAAAAAAATTTGATAAATTTTATTTCACATATATATATATAATGTTATAGACAGAATGCTTCCCTCTATGCTTTTCTATGACAAATTTGTCACAATTCGATTGGCAAGGCTAAGAAATTGAGTCAGTACCTGCAATTTGTTTCTGGAAGTGACACAAACTGTCGCCTGATAATCTGACGAAAACTTCTATTTCATTTTCTGCAGGAGGGAAACAGTATGGAGAACTCAAACGGAGACAGGAGGAGATACTGGACGAGATTAACCAGGTGAGATCTCGCGAGAAAGAGTGAGGTGATGCTTAGAACCCACTTCTTCAAACCTATGACTCATCATTCGTTAAGTGTCCCAGATAGCGGGACAGCGTTTGTCCAGAAACAACGGATCACTCAACTGAACCGTTTCACTTTCTCTGATGTATCGGCGCCGGGCATGTGAAGAAAACGCGTCTGTAGGGGACCACTGTCTATTCCCATAATGAAAACAGACCAGAGCTTTGATGTGTAAGGTGTGGACAGATCTAGTTTGGTCCGTCCTGGTGTGGAACTCAACTGAACCGTTTCACTTTCTCTGATGTATCGGCGCCGGGCATGTGAAGAAAACGCGTCTGTAGGGGACCACTGTCTATTCCCATAATGAAAACAGACCAGAGCTTTGATGTGTAAGGTGTGGACAGATCTAGTTTGGTCCGTCCTGGTGTGGAGCGTAACTATCAGGCAGCTGGCTAGCAGCGACACACGGTCTAGTCAGGGCGCCACTCTTTTTAACGGTGAAATTACCGTTTGGAATAACTCTATGCAGCAAATGTTTTATGTGTCATGACAGTTATGACAGCGTTAATACCGAAACATTCATACTCACGAGATTTCTGTAACGTTGAATTGTACAGTCATCGGCATTCTGTACCTTTTAGATTTGATTCTCAATTCAGTGTCCGTCTAAATTGTTGCCTATGATATGTTTGTGTGAAGATTTTTTGTTTTGGAGCCACAAAAGTCATGCATATTTCTTCCCACGTGCCTCGATGCTTGGAAATCATCCCTTCCAGGACTAGTGTTTAGATGGGGAACAAAACAAACTTTGAGTTCACATGCCTAGCTGTTGTCTGTTTATCCTCGCCGACCCCTTCAAAGTTAATGTCACAAAACTACCGTCCTAATGAGACCCATCTGTCTGTGCAGGAGCGCTTGTCGTTCACGCTCTTTGTGTAGCGGGTTAATCCAGGGAGATTAGGTCTGATGACAGTCTGATGACTTTGACGTTGGTTGTTTTCTATAGTAGACTTCCTAAGGCTAGGTTGATAGGCCATGGAAATGCATATGATGGCAATTTGATCGATCGGTAGTAGTCTCTAACAGCCTCAGTACGTACATGTGAGGATAAGGAAGAACCGACGGTATAAAAGGTTGATGCTGCAGTCTTCCACGTTGTGTCTTCCTTGAACTGTCTATAGGAAAAGGAACCCAAAACATTTGTTCCGTCGATGTCTTTGATATATACAAGGACTGGGGATATTGTAGTGGGTATGCTGCGTTCTTATATATGGCACTTTCCGTAGAAACATGAAAATGCCCAAAGTTTGATATTCTTAGATCTTCACCATCACGCTGTACAAGTTGGGACAGACTCATTTGGAAGGATCGACAGTGTTAGCGCTCCGGTTTGTGATCGTATGCCACTGTTACAAAAGAGTGTTTCTAGTATCACATATCAATTAATCATTCCCATCCTCGCTCCCCACAGGAGTTTCTGACGGATGACGATTACAAAGAGGTGGAGGATCTGGCTGACAGGCTGGAGTCATCAAAGAGTGAGTGTTAGGATGTAACATAAATACTGTAACCATATGCATGATTTCAAACACGCTTCTGAATATTTTTGGCTGTATATTGGGATGTATTTTAAACGGAAAACTGTGATTTTTGTTGCTGAACTTTATATTTCCTTCTCCTCCACCTTTCCAGAGACTTTTATGGAGATGGATGAAAACAACAACGGAGAGCTCGGTAAGTTGGTGTGATGTAGTGACGCAAAAACGTTCGTAGTGCTGCCCTATATTATTGCATCAATGATGAGAGATGTAAAAGCTAAGAGATGTTCAGCCTGAAATTAGAAACGAAAAGCTTCGATGTCTTACAATCCCATCAATTAGATTTGTATACATGTACTAGTATCTTGGCGTGTTATAATTTAACGTCAAGTCACCCAAGTACAAGCACTGTTGATCTACAATTAAAATCTCCGCCGTAACTAAATGCATGAAAACCACAATTCCGTACAGGTATGATGGAGGTGAAGCGCATGATGGAGAAGCTGGACCAGGCCAAGACTCACCTGGAGCTGAAGAAGATGATCAATGAAGTGGACACGACCGGTAGGGGCGTCATCACGTACCGGGACTTCCTGGGGATGATGCTGGGCTCCAAGAGCTCCGTCCTCAAGCTGTACGTACAGCATTCATGTCTTTACATATGTGTATAGAATTATTCTTTATTTATTACAATGGGAAATTGCATTCGCTCCACGTGTTGTCATGAGGACATTTGTGGTAAGCGGAGGAGAGAAAAGTTTAAGGACGTGACGTCTGTCAGTTTTACAGAGAGAAACAAATCAGGCCTGTCAGTACATTGTACTAGTATCACGAGATGAATTTTGTCAATTACTCGGAAGAAGCTTTACAACGAATAGACCTTTATGAAAGATATATTCCCATTGAATTTGGTCCCTTGCGTTATTTTTGTTTCTTTAATGCCTATATTCTTATTGATCCACAGATATTGTGATTTTCTATGTAATATCTTCATTTGAACATCTTACAGGATCTTGATGTTTGAGGAGAAGAGGAAGGAGAAGGAGAGGCCGAAGGGAGTGGCGCCCAAACGTGACCTGTCCAGCCTACCCTAGATAAACCAGTCATGTTTCTAGATAATGTCCGGGCACGTCCATTGCCATCTTTTACACATCTATGTTGGTGAAATAATGGAGTAATGGTTTACTTTTGGTTCCTGCATGGTGGGAGATTTTGTACATGAGGGATTAATGTTGGAAACAACGGTAGATTTTGTAAAGGATTTTTTACTTCTTAGTTGGAGAGCAAATCGCCTTTAATATCGCGAGGAATTTTCTTTATTTTACATGTGACGAGACGGTCGCTATAGATCTAGAATCATGTAGTCAAATTTATGTTTCCAATTTTTTCATGTCCAGTGTATTCCTTATTGTTTAGACTTTCACACACTCTCTTTTAGTGTACCAGAAACTTTAGAATTAGATAAAAATTTAGATAACCAAGATTGCCTCTCTATACTTGTATTTTATGTAAACTGGGGAGGGCTATAGATGGGTGAAACGATTGTGTAGGATAGGGTTAGGTAAAAGATCATGTCTGCAAATTTGGACTAAATAGGTACTATCGCCTCATATGCTTACATCTTTTAGGCTTGTGATGCCATGTGCTTATATTACTTCTTATATTACACGTCTTTGAGATAAAACAATCAGGGCTGTTTAACGAAGGTTGTTTGTGTGTCATTTTAAGATACTCAAATCCATATTGCTGTTTACAATAAACTGAAATGTAAGTTTGTAACAAAATGTCTACTTTGTCATTTTTGACTCAGATATGATTATGAAGATCTTCGGTGGTGTAATCATATTCAACTCAAGTCTGCTCCTGAAGTTGTGTTAAACATAACCCATTGGATATGCCGACTGATTAAAGAAAAAAAAAGTTTGTTAAAAAATAGAGCTGGCAAGGCCGACCTAGCTCCTTATACAGAACAGGGCTTCCCTGTCCATCCACACTTATCACACCAGGCTCTTAGCACATTTTTATTTAGCCTTTGACCCAATTCCTACAGTTCTTATCTGTACACAAAAACAGGAAAGTCTAATCATTTGATGAGGAACACAGACCATATCTGAGATTCTTCTGATAAAGTACAAGCATGGATAGATATGCTTAATGTAAAGAGATGCAAGCTAAAAAGAAATCATTTCCTACAGAAAAGCTGTGCACTGTCATACATAAGGTGGAGTACCAAATTGATTCCTTTATTTCAGTACAGTTATACATGTAGTAAACACAAACCTTCTTGGGTATTCAAATACGTTACAGAGCATAAAAAGCTCTTATTGTATGTTAAATCTGATGCGAAAGAACATTTTAGCATACACACACAACTGTCCTGCACAAATATTAAATTTTATAATTTGCACCTTTATGTGCACCACTCTTGCAGACCTTCACTAGTAGTGTGCATTTCATGCAGACCACAGCAATGGCGTACAGCACAATGAGCACATTCCTGTTGCATTAATAACTTATCAGATGCTGCATCCCTGGGCTGCTCTAAATCTTTGTGGAAAAGGGAAACACAAACAAAATGTATTTCACCATTGTGTCCTTGGCTAAAGCAAGCCATGGCTAAACATACCACCTCAGTCCCAAACATTTAGGAAACAAATACTAGCAGTACCTAAACAAGACCTACACATCACTTAACACGTGAGAACACACTGTCCCTCACAATCCATTCCTTTCATAAAACATTAAACTATATACATGCTTGCAGTTTATGTAGCCTGGCAAATAGGGCACTGGTAGCCAGCTCTTTTCTGGAGTTGGGTGGAGTGTCAGGTGGGCTGTGTTCCAGGCTACATACATGTATGTACATGTACAACAAACTACACACAAAAATGGAGTCACCCTATCAAATAACATCATAATTCACCCAGTAGAAAGAGTATATCACAAATAGCCAGTTTCTTTATATACTTATCATTATTGTTAAGATAAATATACATACTTTCCTTCAATTTCTCAAGAAAGAATGTCTACATTCTAATGCATGACCAGTTTATACAGATAGAAATACATGTATGAGCAATGTACCTTTAGCATGTTTCTTGTAGCAATAATGCAATCGCATTAGCTATCAGAAAAATATATCAGACTGTGTTGATGTGTTCAGCTAGCATGTGTGAATATTGCACTATGTGACATGATCAGGCAAGTGTTAGTCCATGATATTCTGCTGTCTTTCTGTCATGAAAAATACAGAATTTTTTTTCTTATCATTTCTTACCTTAAGGCAGCAAGTCTTAATAATCAATTTTGCTATGTTGCTGTGATGAGACTTTGTGTTCAAATACATGTGCTGTCATTTATAGCATTTGTCAAGATTTGAAACTGACAGACCTGGTAAATATAATTCATTTTTTGCCATGACTGATATAAAAAAACCTAATATGATACTAGTAGTAATTACATTCATGCATCTACCAGTAATTCTATTTACTTATCATTGGATCTTGATTAATGCACACACTGGACTATTATTTGATGATGTTGTTTTGTCTTAAACTGTCAATTATCCTTGACTCTCAATAGTTTGTAGAAAAAGCACTTTTTACAAGGCTGAATACTATTTTTAGAGGTTCCCATTACATTTTTCACTAACCCAGCACATCTGAAAAAACACAGCAATTCCTTATAAAAAGTGTTCCCATGCAGCAAGGTTAAGATTAAATTTTGAGCAGCAAAAAAGTCCCTATGCTACTTTTCTTGGTCAATATCTGACCACCACACTAAATAGACTGTTAAATGTAACCCATTGTCTCACCAATTATGCATAGACAAAATACAGCTGTCTACAACCAAATGATGAAAGAAACACAGTATAATACAATGTAGTATAAAGCTCTTACTAGTCCAAACTGTTAAGAAAAACACTTAAAAATACATTACATACAATGTAGTTGCTTTTGTTTACAAAAGACAAATGCTTCTTAAATGTTGTCTGACTACTACATTTTCCTAGGCAATATTCACAGGTTTATTATAATGCACTTGAGTTCATGTAGGACAATGTTCCAGACCAGGGACCACTATGGCTTCCTGTACTTCTGAATGATGATGGGCACTGGGAAATGGACAGAAAAACACAATATTACTATGATTTTATAATTATAATTTCACTAAATAAAAAATAATGCTGCAACAGTTCAAAGCTGGAAGACAATGTACTTTTCATGTTATCTAAAACATGGAAGTGATCAATATGAAAGTGCAGAAAAAGTAGTATATGAAGAGCAAACTTACACACAATGACGAGGATGATGACCAGTAGTACAGTGAACAGTAAGGCATACATCTGTGGGGGACAAGATGAGGTCAATTTTTAAAGTCAAACATGCATTTTATTTACTTCAGATCTGTACCATGAAGACTTACTCAAATGACAAAATTTGCATGCCTAATACATGTACAAAGCTTTTAAATTGCATGAAAATATGACCAAAACACAATTATGGAAGCATTGTAACAGAAGATATTCCTTACCTTGCAGTTGTGCCATCGCATTGTTGACTTGAGTCTTTTGGAAGTGTTTAGAAACTTGATGCTGTGATCAGAGAGTTCCTCTGTGGTAAATAAGAGTATACAGGTATATAGTTAGACAATACATATCTTATTGTGACCATTGCATAATTATGTTTCCTTCTTCTACATGCATATGTTTAGTTGTCTTAGGTTGTGTGTAAATAACGCATTCAATATTATAGAAACTGTAGATTGTACTTCTTGCATGTATCTATAAGCCAACAACAGTAATTAGCTGAATGAACAACAATATCCATGTGAACTGACTGAAATAAGCCTGGTTACCATAGTGACAGACATGGTTGCCATAGTGACAGACATGGTTGCCATAGTGACAGACCTGACTTGTCCTGTAGCAGCTCCAGGTTCTCTCCCCTGTCTATCACCTTGGCAACATTGTCCTGCATGACCTCTATGACCTCATCCACCTGACCTTGAACTCTGTGAAACACAAAAATGGACACATATATGTAATTATTTATAGTGGAAGTCTGTTGTCAAATAATAGATAAATGCATTTCCAAATACACATCTTGCATACACATTACTAACTGCACAAATACACATTTTCATACACATTACTCTAACTGTGCAAATACACATTTTTATCAAACAACAATAACTTGGTACCTTAATGCAAAATGTTATCAAAATGTAAGGTAGATAAACACAGAAACTTCTCTACTTCAGTAGATTCCACATTGTTTACTGAGTACAAATTGCATGTATACTGTAGCTGTATCATAAATCATATTCAACAGATGCAAAGGTGAACACTTCTATCATATTCTAACAAACCTCTTGATTTTGGTGTACCTTGTTGTAGCGCTTCCCACCTGCAGCTCTGGAACAACAATAACATTACATTCAACAAAACCTCTCATTCTCAGTTCATTAGCCATGTGAAAAAAACTATCAGAGAGCTCTGGCACTTTCTGTTTTGTAAGCAGTCAGTAGATACCAGTTCTCATTGCAAATAATCTGCTTATAACCTTGAAGAATGTTTTTGCATCTCCTTTTCCTTGTTGACACTCATACTGGTCTGTAGGGACATAGTAACAGGTGTTGTTTACAGTATGGAATGGACCATATCGAAGAGTAAACAATGAAATACTTCAGTGTTCAGTCCGTGAAACAGGTGACTGCCAGTCTGCTGTGCCAGCTACTGTATAGCGTTTGTATGTTGTAGTTAAGACATAGATTGATACTAGTATGTTTTAGCTATGTATCCATATATTACTGGGTAAAGCACTTCATGGGGCATCGCACCCATAATGTATCGGTTGATCTATCTATCTGCCTGAAATTAGATCATTTATCATTAGTTAAGACATTTAGAATACATGTGTAACTGTTACTACTTTGGCGGCATCTATGTTCTAAGTTCAGAGCTTCAATACTATATTGTCTGATTTTGGTACTCACACAAAAAAGTCTTCCTCATCATCATCACTGCCATCAAGAAGGCTCGCCTGATATCGAACATCAGAAAACAAACAATGTTTTGTAAGTCAATGTTCTATCTGCTTTGATATGCTACACTTGCAATCAGTATTACATTATAATACATTAAATACAATGTATTACAACAAACAATATTGACACAAAGGGATGTGTACTAGTAACTGTAATGTGACATCGTAAATAAAGAAATTGCAAGAGTGACAGTGATTGAGAGAGGGTGATAAATATCATGATTTTATGAATGCATATCAAAGTGTATTCATAAGCTGTATATCTAAGCTTTGAATAAACATACATGTGTAATTGACATACCTCAGTCAATGACTCATTGCAAGTGTGCTCTTTGACAAGCAGACATCAGAATCACAGAGATAATGTTATTGTGATCAATTAAAAATTGTGACACCAACATCTGTAGTTGTGTTGTGACAAGAGGAACCCTGTTACTTACTCTCTCGGCTACCCCTGCCCTGTACATATCGTCGCTGTCCAGGAATCTCTTGAACTTGGGAGGCATCTTGGAATTTCTATTACTTTCCTACCATGCAGTAGTGGAAAGGGAGGGAGGAGGATGGAGGAAGGATGAGGGAAAATCTCACATCACCGCCACACCTCCCGACTTAACCTGTAAAGGTACACCCAGGCAGTTAGTTAGCGTCAATACGTTAGCGACTAAGTTACTAACCCGTTCTTCTGAACGACTGGGATCCTGTCGGCCTGACGGAGGAGCGTAGATCGCGCGGGATCCCCCGGATCGCATGTGGTAGTGGCTGGCTGCCGTCGCTGTTTGTAACATGGCGTCTTCAAGGATCTACAGTCCTATCTTTAAGAAGAATCCGGAGGACTCAAATAAGGGACACTTGATGGTTGATCCTGGGGATCAGAAGTGATCCAGAGGTTTGTGATCCAGCCTAGGGTGATCCAACTTGTGACGTGGACGTTTCCTACAGGATCTCCTGCAAGCTTACCCTTTACAAAGGTCAAAGGCTAAATCTGAATGTGAAGGGTCAGAAGAATTCCGCATATCTTCTGGAAAAAAACAATGCAAACACTTGGGCAATACCAGTCACTAGTACAGGAAATAAAAGATGGAATTTTCTAGGAAGGTATGGTGCAGAAATGATCTCATAAAACGTCAACAGAATCACACAGAGCGTGTCACAAGACACCCCAGACAATACCCGAGGCGTCTACGGGGTTGAACAGCCTTGGGACATGAATAATATATACTTACTATTGTTCTCTTGCACGCAACAAGTCGATCTGGTTCAGATCGGACTACATCCAGTGTTGTTGTGATCTCTGTCCCGGAAGTAATCCGCAAACATCGGACCGACGTTGGGCTATACCACTAGTAAAATAGGTAGGGAAAGTACGCTTTCTATCTTTTATCAAATAGACTGTTTAATGTAATAGATGCTAAACAGTTACAAATATGATACTATATGAGTTTCTATGTACAAAGACAAAACAAAATGCTAGTATGTGCTGGTGTTAGTATGTATCTACATAAAACATGACATTACGAGGGTACAACCTCTGAATACTATGGTTTAGCCCACTAGTTCTTACCTTGGTTTATGATGTCTTATGTATGGACAGAAATCAGCCACTTGTTCCACATTGATGACAACTTTTCCTACAAAGAAAGCAACCATAGTTTTCTATAAATCTGCTCCAATAAAAATATTTACGTTTATTCGTTAAAAGCCTAAAATATTGCAAGAGGGGAAATGAAATACACAAGGGACCACCGTGTATTGTGGTAACAAAAATGGCGCCGTCCAGTTGAAAAAAAATGGTTTCGGTCGTCGTTTGATATTTTTACCTCAGAATCTCCCGTGGACAAGCATCACGTTTTAGAGCGCTGAAAGAATTCAAGAGCTGGTGTACCCAGGAATAGACGGCACCATGTCAGATTTCCCAGAAAGGGACGTGAAGGTAAGAAAAACGGGTTCAAATTGAAGTCGCACGTCAGAAACTTTCCCTGTCAGTGTCACACTTCCCAAAGCTAAAATATTAAACATGCGTCAGATCTCGTAAATAGTATCTATATTCGTCTAGATTTATAAGTAGATGATGCTTTCATTCCATCGGATGCTTAGTTACAGTTTACAACAATGCAGGCTGCAACAATTTAGAGTTTTAATAAATCGATATGAAAAACATATGTGCTGCAAATGCAAATTTGAACCAACCCTGGAAGGTGACAGACGGTCACCGAAACGTCGGCTGAATAAAAAACTTGGTTGTGTAGAAAGAGTCTCTATACTCAGTGACTTGCCAACCTGATGAAACTACTCACAGATAATTAATATAACATAATAAAATTTTGTGACTACAAGTTTTCCTGTCCTATGTTTGTAGGAATTCTCCTTCCGTCAGATGTGTAAACTGCGAGTGAGTGACCAGCCCTTCTCAGATGACAGCAGCAGTGTTGGCCGGTACAGTCTGATAGCTGTCTCCAACATGTATGGGATAACCTATGTTGGTTCCCCAACAGGTATGAATTATGCAAAATTATGTTATGTAAAGTTATCATCATAATTTTTCTTAACATTTTGTTGTAAGCAACTGTTTGATAATTTGTATTTAGTCAGCTACCCTACTGTACTGTAGGATACTAGTAATGTAAAATCATGTATGTTATGTTAAAGGTTTGCTCAGAATTTAGTATAAGAGGCCCGGCGGCCTCTTGACACCTTGCAAATACATGCAAGTTGCAAGACTCCTTTGAAGTTACGTAGCTTCCAAAGCCTCCACATACATGCATGCTTTATCTATTGGTGAAACTGTGATCAAAATGTACTAAAAGCTTATGACTGATGTCAGGCTTTAATAAAAAAACTCACTGGAGTTACAATAAGAACAGATACATGTATGTCTGATATCGTCATTTGTCCCCAGACCTTAAGGTTATCCAGACATCTGAGGTGGGGAAGATTCACCACAGCAACACTTCAGGAGACATCAACACTGTTGGTAAGCATTACTGTAGAATCAGCAGCAGTTGGCACTTGCATTGCAAAAATCCTTGTCAACATGTAATGCATTGAAATTGTACACGCAGGTGACTTGAATAGCATTTGCAGTATTTGATTGAAGTTTCACATGATACAAGACATAATGATAAAACACATGGATAATATTTTCCTGTAACTTGAATGTTTGTTTTCTTGTTGCTTCCAGTTGAAAACCTGCCCATGAAGCGGTTCCCTATCCCATCCATCCACCACCTGGGGCTGAGCTGTGATGAACTCACCCTGTCTGTGTGTCACACCAGAGAAGACAGCCTGGCTCTGTCTCTGTATGACACCAGGGTATTCCTTGGGAAGGTGTGTACTACTGTCTCTGTTCACACCTGTTATACTCATGATGAAATGTTACATAGAAAACGTATATCTATTATATTTTGTGCCAGGGTTCTAGCCAGCTCAAAATCAGCCCAGGTTTATGATCGGACCTGGGGGCAAATCATTGGTTTGAGAGTGGTTGTTGGTGGTCCTTTGGATGTTTCTATATTTTTACCCAAGATTTTGGTGTCACACGCCAGAATTTTCCTGCAATTGACGGAAAAACGGGTGCTGGCTAGAGCCCTGTTTTCTGCCCAGTTTCTTCTGTTTTAGTGCCAATATGTTGGCTTAATTTTATCATCTTTCAAGGAAAGACTACTCAATTAGTGGATATATGAATTCTGAATCATTGATGACAGTTCTGGTCAAGACACTTTGAAATGCAAGTGTTTTTCCATGTGTCCTCTATCATTCTGATGTTGCATCTCCCTTGAATGGTAATCCGCAGGATCCAAAGCCGGCCTTTTGTAAAACAAAGCTGTCCACAGTCAAGGGTCTGACAGTGTGGGACGTGAAGTGGAACCCCGCCCACCCTAACATCCTGGCCTGCCTGCGCTCAGATGGAACACTGGTCGTGTTAGAGGTCACAGACAACAACAGCATGAAGGTCATGGCCACGTTTGATGGCACCAAAGGCATCACTGCAAGTGAGTAGACTATACAGAAACAAACTAGTACATGCACGCATGCAACTTTGTTATACAGAAAAATGTTCTAAACACACATTAGGATTCATTCAGAATTTTGTTTGACTGTTGTCAGTTTGTTTATAGAAACAATTATGGCAAAGTACATCTACTTGATCAATGTGTATTAGGATATGTGAAGTTCTATACTACTTGGCTGACTTATATCTGACAATCACTTTCTCTGTTTCTCCTGTGTTTCAGTATGTTGGAGTCCCAAGGGAAAACAGCTAGTGGCAGGCAGGCAGGATGGATCATTTGCACAGTTCACATCTGTAAGTCAGCAATCGTCAGCAAATAACAAAGATATGTATTAATTAATGCATTGTGAAAGTGTGAAAGAGGATTCCTAATTTAAGTAGTAACAGCCTGGCCTACATCAATGTGTTATCAATGCTCAAAAAGTCTACCATTCTTGTTTCTTACAGAAGTTGGAAGAGAAGAAGTCTGTGCCAAAGCCAGTCATTTTTGGGGACAGCAAAGCACAAGGTGATTCTGTTGCTGAAACATTTTAATACAAGATTTTTGTCAGATTTTTACCACCATTCCTTCCTGCCAATTTTGTAAACTTTAGATTTGTTACACCAAGCATGATTTCAACCTCATGAGTATGTTCCAATAGTCCACTTTCCTAAAAACTCTTTTTTTTTTTATATTCCTGTGCAGTGCGTGATATCCTGTGGGTGTCCACGTATGTGTTTGTGGTGCTGTATGATGTCATCACAGATGATGCTTCCCAACCCAGTCTGGCAGTGGTGTCTTTGCCGGTAAGCTTCAATGTATTTTCTTCTCGGTTGACAATAAGCATCTTGTTAGGTCATGAAAATTGACAATGTTGAGACAACCGAATACTACACTGTCTTGTCTTTGCAGAAAAAAGATGAGCAGCGTCCGACCACCTATACAAACTTTGAGGAGATTTGCTTTGGTGGTGGGGAGGACAGAGACCTGAAGTACTTCCTACACCACATGGATGAATGGTAAGGGTTTCCTACCTAACTATACATATAGTCACAACCAAGTCTTGTAGTGACCATTCATAGGATAACAAGAACACCATACTTACATATGTCAAAGGAACTCCGACAAGACTACACTCTATAGAAAATTTTAAAATCTTAAATAAATAAATATGTAACGTTTACTACATGTATTTTCATTATCAAGAGATGATTTTTTTGTGTGTATGTAGAAATGATATTGGTATTGCTGAAGTTGATTTGGATGTAGGACTGAACATTCATCAAAAGTTTGTTGATGTACTCTGCAGGGGACTTGTGGTATGTGCTTCTAGCAGATCCATGGAAGCAGCAGTGATTGGGAGGAGTCTTGATGACAAGGTGGGACAAAGTGTCTGAAGGTTTAAAACCATCTGAACTTCTGTAAAGCTGTTTTTCTTGAATGTTAAGTTTTCCATATGCTGAAAGTTTGCCAACCTTGGTATATGGTAAATCTTTCAACAGTTGACTCTTTGAGTTCTTATCTTATTCTGTTGATGTTAGGTTGATATGTTGCTGTTTGTTGTCTGTAGAATGTGTGGGAACTGTGGAACCTGGATGATGCTGGCAGAGCAGAGCTTCCTCTGTCCTCTAACCATGATGAGACCTACCCCATGGGCATGGCTGTGGACCTCACTTCAACCAACCCTATCCCTATTGGTCAGTCTGAACACAGTTTATCTTAGAACTTCAGTGAAATAACACATTATTAATGGTTATCAAGCCTTTTGTGGTTAAAAATGCCTTGACATCTGTGATATCAGGATTTTTGATTGTTTTCATATTGCTAAGCAATCATTTTGGCTTTTTGAAATTCTCCAACCTTTAGCAAAACAAGCATTCCACAGTCACAAATTACAATTATCCATTGTTCTGATAAACTTTCCCTTTCACCACAGGTGAGAACCAGTCTCTCCCACCCATGCCCATGTTCATGCTGCTGTCCACTGACGGCTTGCTGTGTCCATTCTACATGGTCAACACGGCCCCACCCCAGCCACTGACCATTGTCAAGCCTCCTAATGCCCTGTCAGCACAGGGAGAAAGGCTACCTCCAGGTAATCTTAACATCTTTTAATCCTTATTTATTCAATAGTTATATGGATACTATAAGGATGATAAAGATAATATTTTGTCTGTGTTGTTTTTGTGTAGATCATTTGAGTTAAATGAATGTTATGAAATTTTCATATTTGACACAAAGTTTAAACTTCCCACAGCTCAAGCTGCATCCCCTGCAGCTGCAGCAGCCAAGCCAGCACCTGTTGCCCTACAGCAGCCACAGCCAGCTGCAGCTATGGCAGGGAAGGAGAACACAGCACCACTCCCCAAACCAGCTGCAGTCCCAGCTTCTGCCTCCTTCAGCTTTACCCAACCACAACCACAACCACAGGCACAGCCAGCTGCAGCTCCCACCAGTTCCCTGTTTACTGCTCCAACATCCACCCCAAAAATGGGGCTACAGAGCACTCCATCTACTACTTCTGGAGGTTTGTCTCTCTTTGGTAGTGCTGCCAGCTCTGCCACCCCAAAATTTGGTTTGTCTGGTGCCTCCACTACTACTTCTACTACTTCTGCCGGTGGCATAACTATTGGAGGAAACACCAGGAGTGCAGGGTTTGCGTTTGCTTTACCTGCCGGACAACAGGCTGGCTCTAGTTCTGCCTTTTCCTTCTCACTACCAGGTTTGTTGTGTGCTGTGTTTTCTAACCAAACCTTTTTAGATTAGTGTTATTGTAACTGTTACGTGCATGCTACGTTGTTATGGAAACTGAAGATACATTTTAACTCTACTAATGGATGGAATATGAAGTAACACGTAACCCATAGTCAGTCCTCAGTCATGGCTATTGTTGTTTTGGATGGGTTTAACTCCTAATGCAAGTTTGCCCCTGATGCATGTGCATAGTTACAGATTTATTTTCAGCCAAACAGATATGCATGTTTATGTTGTGTCACTCCTATGTACATTGTATCTCTAGGTTCATCCCAGCCTGGTACCACAGGTGCCACGAGCAGCCAGGGATTCTCCTTCTCAGCACCTGGCACTACAGCAGCCTCCACAGGGCCTGGTGCTAGTGCCTTCTCCATGGCAGCACCAGCAGGGGGGGTGAAGCCTGCTGCTGTCACTACTGCTGCTGCTGGTCCTACTACTACTGTCACTGCCAGCACAGGACTGTTCTCCATGCCTGCAGCTACTACAGGTACTACAGAAATGCTGAAGGTTGCATAAGGTTGAGTTGGAAGAATAACTGTAACTGAACTTTGTAGTCAGTCTCTTTTAAAAGAATTTTTCCAAATTTGATCACATCATGGTACCCTCCAATCCTGATGATAATTGTGTATTTTCTTAAACAAGATCATTTTGACTCTTAGGCCACCTCAGTCGATGGCTTTCAAGGGATTCTAGGAGTTTTGCATGTGAAATTTTACTAAAATATCGTGATTCACTGTGAAGACTTGCAAAAGTAAAGAATTTTGTAACATGTATACATTTTGTATTCCCCAGTGTCTGGCATTGCCCCAGCTGCACCCAAGACAACCGGCTTCAGTTTTGGAGCCACAAATACTGGTCAGTCCTTCAGCTTCAGACCAGGGACTACTACTGCACAGCCCAGTGTGCCACAACCTGTGTCAAAACCTGCTGTACAGCCACAACAGTCAGTTACAGTACAACCAGGCTCTAAACCACCAGCTATGGTGCAGGCAACGTCCCTACAGCCAGGCAACGGTGTGTGACAACTACTGCTACTAGTACTACTACTATCCCAAATATCTCACTTTAGCTAGTATTATAACCTTTGTTGTGATCAAGTAGATGTTAAAGAACCCCTGCTGATAGCTCTGCCATTTGAGAAGTCTGTCAAATAACTGAAACTCACATGTTGCATGTCCCAGGTCCAACCCAGGTGGTCAAACCCAGTGCCCAGCCAGCCAAGCCAGTTGCTGTCACTCAACCAGCCCCGTCTCAACCACCACCACCACCATATAAACCACCTGCAGCCCAACCGGCTGCACCTGTTACTGCAGCTGCCGCACCTGCAAAGCCTGCACAACCACCTGCAGAAGAAGCAGCTGCTGAAGAGGACACATTCTCAGCAAGTATCTTGGAGGAGGTATGAAAGAAAAAAAAAATTCCCCAAAACACTTTTTAAACTGTTTGTTGATTACTCTTACAAAATTCTTTTTCGAAAGTCACATGCTAAATGTACTCTTTGTCTGTTACACAAAATGTAAAGTTGTGTTTATTATTGTTTGACAGATAACCCACTTTGAGAGCGAAGTGGCCAGCCTTCAAAATGCATCAGTGAAGACTGACTGGAGAGTTGGTCATCCTGATGAGCTGAAGAAACTGAAGGAGGAGACCCAGAAGATAGCAAGGTTCTGTGAGGAGATCAAGGACACAACACAGGTGTGAGACCACTATAGGGGGAGTAGTGCAAAGTTTTACATATTAGTTAGATTTTAGTTTTAAAAGAGGATTCCTTAAAGCCTGGAATTCTTTTACACTCTGCTTTGTGGTAGGAAATGTAAGTAAATTGGCTTGATTTAAAAAAAAGATGAAAAAAAGTCAGATCAGCGTTTTTATACTGACTTTTTGTTTGTTGTTTGTTTGTTGTTTTACTTTTAGTCCATCCACAACGACATCCATGACTTGCGTACACAAACCCTGGAGACATTTGCGATGCTTGAGGAGGGGAAGTCTCGCAACGACAGGAACAAAGAACCGTACTACCACCAGCTGCTGCGATCACAGGTCTCATTCTTTGACCATCATTTCAATAAAGAGATCAATCTATGTACTACCTGGAAAAATGGGGGAAGAGCAGCCATTAGCAATTGTTATTCTATAAAAGTAAGGAATTTTATGATGTAGTTGTTTCAAAACATGTATGGTCATAGCAGTCATGGGGAAAAATGAATTGCTTGATATTGGATCCATTCAAGTGTCTATCTATTGGAGCAAACTATATTCTATCCTCTCTGGTATTAGATACATTTGCAGTGAAACAACAGTTTCATACTCTTAAAATGCTGCAAAAACATACAAGTAAGTAGAAAGTGCTCACTGCTCAGATGAATAATTGTGCTGTGCACCTCACCCCACCCCCTCCTCAGGCCCTGGACCCGGCCAGTGCTAACAAGATGAAGGAGATCAGACAGATGTACCACTATGTGGACACCACCCTCAGGGATGTCAACAACATGCTGGACGATGAGTGGGACAAATTCAAACAGCAGAAGACTCAGAAGACTGGGTATGGTGCTGTGCACTTTACATTCAAAGAATAAAAAATGATTCCAAGATTTCAATCATTTCACGCTGAACATGATATATGAGAGTGTTTAAGGTACTGTAATTCAAAATGTTTTTGCTGTACTTTTATGTTTGCGGTTTTCATGGTCAATTCTGTACCGCGAACGTACATGTACCATTACCATCAACAATGGCAACAACATCATGCAATTTTATAGCAGGAGGGATTTAGACTCCTGTCACTATATATGTGTTTGAGTAAGAATTAAAAGAGCAGACCATATTTAAAGGTAAACATTATGCATTTGCTTTGCAAATGTTACCTTTCTAGTTAAAGTTATTTTTCCTGCTCCAATCTCAGTAAGCTGAAGAGCCCTGCGCTGGATGTGGTGTACCGCGCCGTCTCCAATCACGACAAGATCCTGCACGACCAGTCCCAGCACATCAGGAGGCTGGGGGAGCAGCTGAAGAAGATGCGGCTGTACAACACCACGTCCAGCTGGACCAACAGGACTGTGGCACACAGCACCACCAAAACGTACGCCTCATAGACTTGTGACAAACCTGTTATTTCTTTTAAAGAGTTGTTTAGAATGGCTCATTTCCTCCTTTCAATTGAAACCTACAAGTAATCCTGGATGGAAGGCGAGTATATCATACTGTGTTTGTTCAGTTCATGTACATGTATCAGTCAACCAAATTTTTCATTATGTACAGTGGTCTTCTGTTGATTCATTTTTTTTACGCTTTTTAAATCTGTGCCTTAGGGATACAGAGCTGTCAGCCTTAGCTGATACCCTGTTACATCCAAGACAGGAGACCACACCTGAGAGGAGGAAGAAGTCATCTTCAGGTAGGTACCTTAACAAGAGGCAACTAAATATGGTACAGTCAATATTTTGTCATCAAAATGTCTACAACAGAGTGTTGTATGAGAAGATCAAGCCATTAGAGTTTTGACCATGTCTAATGTCATTGCTACTTTTATCATGTGTGTTGTCACACAGCCTCCCCCCTGTCATCCAAGAAGCAGTCCCAACTGCGGGAGCTCCTGGGGAAGAGACAGGTCACACCTGTACGCTCCACCACTCCAGGTAGGTCTCATCTTTAACCCGCCCTAATACTTCCTCTAAGAAGGTTATCTTTTTGTAGCATTTGTTTCTTAGTTTGTTGACTTGCTTTATCAAGAATGCAAAACTTGTGTGTATGTGCTATCATATAATATGTCTATGACTTGGTGTAGATTTATAAACAGAGAACAAGGTGTTTAACTGTTGAACCACCCCTCCAGCGTCAGTGTCTCAGTCCCGGCTGATGTCTCCCCAGCGCATGTACCGCTCCTCCCCTAGGCCTGCCTCCTCCACCCCCAGGGGTAGGGAGGAGCTTGGGTTTGCTAGGGAGGAGGGTGTTGGTCTGCCGACCCCCAAACCTGGCCCTCAAGCTGAATCTCCTCCACAGGAAACTCCAGCAGGTAATATTTCTGTTTATCATTGATTTGTTCCATGATGGTAATTAGTGTCCAAATCCCTTTGTGATAAATAGTTGTTATCATCAGCCACTGCTCTGCTACTGTAGTGGTGTAGACAATGCAATTAGTCTTTCTGTAACCATACCCATTGTGTCCTGCGGGTTCCTTTCTGACCATAAAGATCCTAGTCCTCTTTTTTCTTTGAAGTCTGACCTCAGAATACTCTGTAAGTTATTCCTGATAGTACTATTTAGTAAAGCAACAGTGTTGTTACCTGTAGGATTGGCTGCACAGTCGAGGGTGAAGACAGTTCTTCAGTTCTCGCCACCTGCAGATGAGCCGCCGCTGAACAGGCCTCAACCCGTCCCCATGACAACCAAACCACCTGAACCAGCCGCTACCAAACCGGTTCCCAGCCAATCAGCAGGGTTTGCACCCGTGCCATTTTCCCAAGGTGCAACAGGACTGAAGGGGACATCTACACTTACTCCAAAGGAAGCTGCAGCTGCTGCTGCAATGAGCCGTGTTGGTGCAGCCAATCAGCAGCCAGCTACATTTGGATCAACCAATCAGAAACCACCAGCATTTGGATCAACCAATCAGCAGGTAGCAGGATTTGGATCTGCCATTCAGCAACCAGCAGTATCCAGCACATCCAATCAGCAGCCATTAAGATTCGGAGCAACCAATCAGCAGTCAGTATTACCTGGCATAACCAGTCAGTTCCCAGGAGGGTTTGGGCTAGCCAATCAGCTGGAGGCTGAGGATGATTTGGCTGATGATGGGGGTTCAACTGAGGACGTGGCACCTCCAGTCGTGAATATCAAAGATGTGGCAAATCTGAAACCAGTTTCAACCAGTGCTGCGACGAATGTGGTGTCAGACAGGCAAGCTATTAACATGTTTTTTTATTGCTTTGCCTTTCTTTTACATCAACTTCAAGGATATAGTGATTTAAGCAAATGCCAAAGTGGGTAATATTCTAGTACAAATGTATAATGTTTCAATTCCTGTTTTACAGTGTGAACCGGAATGCCTTGGAAGCTGCTCAGAAGATTCTACAGTCAGCGACAGCTACATCCAAACCAGTGAGTTTCAGACCAGAGTTCTATCAATTTATGTGTGTGTATTTACAAACCCTTTTTACATCATTGGTAAATACTGATACAAAATCATTGATTAGATAAGATATTGGGTACAACAAAATTCATACAAAAGTTAACCATATATAAATTGTGTGAATCTTAGGCAACTACGACTGCTGCCATGTCCATCCCACCCTCTACATCGGGCTTCAGTTTTGCCATGTCGGGCCAGCAGGCTGCATTTGGTCAGCCTGCCAGCTTTGGGAGCCTGTCAGCAGCGCCCTCTACCACAGCTGCACAGAACAGCAGCACGTCCACAGGGTCATTTGTGATTGGCCAGGGCCTCTCTGGTTCCTTCTCGTTCAAGCCGGCTGTCACAGCCTCTCTGTCCTCAGCAACACAGGTAGGGTTTGGTTGGGTCACAGTGAAAGAGATTGATACGGAATGTAGAGCGTTTGTTTATATCTCTGTGACTTGCCCTGCCATAAGATGGCATTATGTGTCTGTAAAAAAAAAAGATGATCCAACTCCAAGGTGAGCTTTGAATGTCTCAATGAGTGTTCATTCATACCTTCATTCTCACCAATGCAGGCAACCCAAGCTCAACCAAAGCCAGTTGAGACGAAGCCAACATCTGGCTTCAGTTTCACAGCCCCAACTGGCCAGTCAGGCCTCAGTTTTGGACAGAGTACTTCATCCTTTGGATTTGGGGGGTCTACTGCTGCCAGCACTACTTCCACAGCTTCAGGAGCAACAAGGGATGGATCTCTACTTGCCAAGACACTTGCAGAGACATCTCAGGATGGTAGGAGAAGATGTTTTAACCTTGGGTCAATGGGTGCTACCAAGTTGGTCTGTGATGTCATGGCACAGCCATCTTGGAACATACCAGTTCCTGTCTGGGGTAGACGGGTAGTGGTAGGGTGGAAGGGTACTGTTAGCTCATGTAGCTCAACGTTGTATCAAAACATTACAAGAAACAGACTTGTGAAGAATTGTAAGTTCTTTTGTATTGTAATGATATACTAGTACATGTACATGTTATGTAAAGACAATAAGTCATGCTCTTATGCCTCGAAAGGGAAGATGAGTATAAATACAAATGTAATTAAGTAAGTAAAGATGATGCATTTGTATACAATATGTACATTGTATGTCTAGTTTAAACCAGCCTCTGCCACCTGTTAATGTCTTTTACTTCCATATCCTCACAGTGAAGGCTCCTGGGAGTGAGGAGCCACCGCTGCCTGGGGTAGAGGACATCACCCCACCACCCACTCCTGAGGAGACTCCTGACTCCTCTACCCAGGTCCCTGATGCACCACCTGCTCCAAAACCCTCCTTTGACTTTTCTAAGAAACAAACTGAAGCAGATGCCGTCCAGCCTGGAGGTTTCTTCCTAAGTAAGTCAACAGGTCAAGAACAAAACTGGTTTAATAACCATGATTTGAAAAGATGCATTATAAATTATTTTTCAGCTACCACTTAGCAGTATAGACTGAATCACTTCATGCCTCCTCTCTATTATGGCAAGTAAATGTTGATGTATCTTTAGTTATATTATATTATATTGCTTGAACCAACCAAATTACATTATTGCTCTGTACAGTGTTCTATCATGCATACGTGTAATTTAACCATTGTTCTGGGCTATTAGTGCTTAACTTGTTCCTTATGATATAACATGCACACTTCAGTAAAATGCATGTACTTACACTCATGTAATATCACACTACATTTGCATTAAAAAAACAGGTCCAAAGTCTGACACACCACCCCCAGAGCCAACAGCACCTACAAGCACACAGGCTGCCCCCACCCCTGCCACAGTGGTAGAGTCCAAACCCACGGCAACAGCAACAGCCGCCACCACCACGTCCTTATTTGGACAGTGTGCCACTTCCACCTTGGGATTCGGGTTTGGGCTGAACACCACCAGTGGATTCTCCGCTCCCAAACCTGCTGCTTCTTCTGGGTTCTCCTTTGCAAGTCCAGCTTCTTCAACAGGTGTGGGCTTGTGTCTCATTACCCCAAGAAAAATAAAGCAATGATGTTAAAAAGGAAATTAAGTACAGTAGTACTGCATGTAGAAACATGTAGTAAGCTGTCATGTCACAAGGCATAGTAGTAAGCAGGCTTACAGTATGGTCATTGGTTTAATGTTACAAGCTATCCATTGGCCAGGAATAGTGTGTTTGATAGAACTCTACAAATTAATACAAGTGTATTCTGTATTAACAGGCTCCACAGCTGTCAGTGGTTTTTCTTTCACCCTACCAAAGACCACAACTGCTGATACAACAGGTGCCCATGCCTTTCATCAAACACTGCATGCTGTTTTCATCACTAGTACATCAAAAGATATTTTTACTAACTGCAGAATATTGAAGACTACAAAATGTAGCCATACATAGGTGTAAGGCACTTCTTGACATGACATGTATATATTAAGATTGAGACATATTAAGACATGTACCTATTAATGCATGCATTCTAGATTCTAGTCATAATCAGATCCACAGAAACATCCAGATGCAAGGCTTTCTTCAACTCATCTGTTATCTCCGTTATGACTATAATCTGAGTTGTGTTTGCCCCCCTCCGATCACCATTTTCTGATCCCAAACAGGCCCCAGTTCCACAGCTGCCAGTAGTTTTGCTTTCACCCTACCGAAGACAACAGCTGCCAACACAACAGGTGCCCAAGAACTTAAATCACACATTGTATTTACTTTATACATGTACTAGTATTTTCTACCATTGCATCTGACATTTATCAATGGCCAGTTTACATTTTAAAAATCACTTCTGCATGGTATGTAGATGTTTGGTAGCAACTAATGCATGCACTTTCAAAACCTCATTCACAGCATGGTGGAAGATTTTCTACAGTCTGTTACAAAGTTTGACCGACTTGATCAGTAACCAAAATTGTCTCTTGCCCCTTCCGTTTCTGGTCTATAATTACAACAGGCACTAGTAGTACCCCAGCTGCCAGTGGATTTGTTTTTGCCCAACCAAAGACCACAGCCACTGATAAAACAACTTTTACAGGTGCAGTCAATGGGACATTTCATACATTGTCTTTGACTCTACTACTGACATGCACATACATGTATGTTGTAATTCTATGAAAGGGGAATTTACATAAAATCCACTCTGTGCACCTTAATTCAGAAATATAGAACAGTAAGAATGAAAATATGAATGCTTAACTTTAGTACTGTAAAATATTTAATTGTACTGTCTCCTGCATGTACTTAATAATATATTCATAATAAAGGTACATTGTAGTGATCAAATTAGGGTCGAATTGAAATATGTGATATTCCCTTCTTTCAGCTGTTACTTGTGCCAGCACATCTATTGCCAGTGCTGCTGGCTTCTCCATTGTGCCAACAACAACAACATCTGTTGGTGCTGTTACAACAACAGCAGCAAGCTCAGCAGACAGCACAACAACAACAACAGCAGCTGTACCTGTCCAGCCCACCACTACTGTCCCAGCGGCTGCCACTACAACTGGTAAGATTTCTATGGAACTTCTCACTAGTGCAAAGACCTGAACTGCATTGTAACCTGATACTAAGAAACAGATAAACAAATCTTTCTTTTGTACAATATTTTCACCACAGCCAGTGCTCAGCCTGTAGCAGCAACCAGTACCACCCCTAGTGCCACCACGTCAGAACAACCGACCACCACAGCAACCACCACGACAGTTTCTCTCTTTGGCCAGACCACCACCAACACAACCACTGCAGCTTTTGGGGCTCTGGCACAAACCACTGCAGCCAGCGGGGGGTTCCTGTTCGCTCAACAGACCACAGGAGGCTCAACTTCTGCATTTGGACAGCCCACTACAACGGGTGAGAACATCACCTTTTCCCCATGCATTTTGTTTGAGGCCTACCAACATTTCTACCACTTTGGTATTATCACAGTTTGACTGATTGAGTGGTAAGGGCTTGTTATATCACTGTTCAAATATGGCAGTCAAGAATTTCCACATATACAATGTACCTACACTGTCTTAGCCCGCAGTCACTGATACATTTGGGACCACACTTTCAGAAAGATTGGGAGGGAAATAGCCTGCATTTGCTTGCAAATGCCAGTGTTTAATCTTTGTTTTTTTATAGGCCCAGTGCTCCCATTATGAATGATGTGTATAATATTTGACAGTTTCATCTAACATGTGTCTTCTACAGTTGCTGGCACCTCAGCCTTTGGAACAGCGGCCAGTACTGGTGGGACCTCTCTGTTTGCCTCAACGTCCAGTGGCAGTTTGTTTGGCCAGTCTGCAGCCACCACCACCACTACCACTACAACATCCCTGTTTGGACAGCCAGCCACAGCTAGCAGTAATGCATTTGGACAGTCCAGTAGCTCAGGGTTTGGGTTTGGGCAAACACCAACATCTGGGGGTCTGTTTGGTACACCAGCATCATCTACAGGTGGGCTCTCTGTCATGTGAACCTTGGTGTGCGTTAGGATTTTCTTTACAATGCCCTTCCTTTACTACATGTGTACTTCCTTTTAAATGCTTGGTATGTAATTGAGTAACTATGCTCTGTTATGCTTGTTAGTGCTGTATTAGTCTTTTATACGTGAATAGATAGATTTCAATATATAATTTGCTTAAGATCAACTATAAACAAGCCATAGTTTATAAAAGAATATCACCCCATTCAAAATAGATTCCATGATTCTATCAAAAGATGGTGATTTCTTTTAATCTTGTAAAATGAATGATCTCACAGTTTTGTACAGATTTTCATAGTGACTGTTGTTTTTCAAGCCACCACAGGTGGACTGTTTGGCCAGACCTCGACCACGGGGGGCCTCTTCGGCCAATCAGCATTCGGAAGCAGCACCACCACGTCCTCCAGTGGAGCGGGCTTGTTTGGCACTCCCTCTACTACTTCCTCCAGCTCTGGGTTGTTTGGAGGGGGGAACACAGGAAGCTCAGGGGGATTCTTCAGCGGCCTGGGTGCCAAGCCGAGTGCAGAGGCTGCTAATAAAAACCCATTTGGTGGCTCTACTTCATTTGGTACACCGTCTACATCAGGTACTCAGTAACACTTCTGTTGAGAATACCTTTGTTTTACAAATACCGTTACATGTAATACATAAAAGTGCTTCTCTATCAACAGTACTGTTCAGCTTGGAGAATAAACAGATGTACTGAATAGTGCAATTCATGAAGTTCTTGAGAAATACATTGTAGAGTAACGTACTTACATTCCAAGTTTAAACAATGATGTAATTCTTGACTTTTATTCAATGATAATATTATGCCTACTTGGTCCAAACACAGCATCCACACTGTTCGGTGCCTCAACTGAAACCAAAGCGAGTGGTGGGTTTGGGACAGCCACAGGCGGAGGTAGGAAACAAATTTTGTAGAAAGTAACCTGAACAGTTTCGGGTTTTAGTTCCACTGTGACGTTTACTAGTGTAGTAAGTAAGTCATGTAATTGTTACAATTTATTTATTACTCTTGTAGAACTTTGCAACATGCGTAGTGTTTAGACAGTGATTAATTGAGGCTTACAATTACATACATGTCTCTTGGCTGTTGAAGAGTTGCTGTACTGGTAGATACAACTTTGTAGAATGCTTGACGCATGTTTTCTGTACCCAGGGTTTGGGTCTCCCACATCAGGAGGCTTCAGTGCAGGAGGGAGTGTTGCACAACAGGGCTTCGGAGGATTTTCCCAGCCTAGTCAACCACAAGGTAGTTCTTCCACTGTTTCTAAGCCTCTAAGGCTATTGATCATGACACCACTACTGTTCTTATTTGTATCTCATTGAAAGGAATGCAGCTTACAGACATTACAATGTAAAGTTGCCCATGTTTTTTATTTGTAAAACGTCATAGATTGACCACACATGCTCTAATTCCTATATATATTTACTCAGCTGCTTCATCTGGATTCGGAAGCCCACCAAGTTTTGGGTCTGCTCCAGCGTTCGGTGGAAGCCCAGGTTTTGGCAGCACAGCAGCATTCTCAAACCCCCTGGGCACGTCCTCTCAGGTGTTTGGGTCATCCGGTGGTGGCGCATTTTCACAGTAAGCAACATGTTTTTAGTTCAAAAGTTAGTTTCTTGCACTCCATAGTGAAAAAGAGTTATGTATTAAATGTTAATGAATCTAAATTTAGAAGAAACCCTGATTGATTTGACTGATTGAAGACTGTCAGGAAATGCAACTTTTGTGGTTCACTGGTTTTGTCTGATATTGCATATTACACTGTAGACATTCTTGATCACTCATTGAGAGTCTTTTAAAACACTGTTAAAACACTTAACAGTTCATTATGTTGCTATGTTTCACCAAGATTTTGCTGACTTGAAATGCAAGAGAGCTTAGTTTTTCTGATAGAGTGAGAACTGTGATACTGTTGTCTCCACTTGGAGGTCTTCTTCTGCTGCCCCTAGCTTTGCAGCTAATGACGCGCCGACGTTCGGAGGGATCGCTGCCCAGAGCAGCACGGCCCCGACGTTTGGCAGCCTGGCACAGGGGTCTCCTGGGTTTGGAGGAGGAGGGGGAGGAGGATTCGGGAGTGGCGGGGGATTCGGTGGTAAGTAGATTAGATTATTAAGAACTTATAGATTGTAGGCAATGATTAACTGTCATTACTTTCCCTACAGATATTGCCTGTATTCCATACACAGAAGTGTATGTCAGGTTTTCCTTGGAGTTACATGTAAGTCTAGGCTCTACACACTGGGATACTCTGTACAATGTCTTATTAGTGCACTGTCCTTAGAGCAGAGCAGTTGCCTTGAATTGATTTTAGTAGATTTTCAACTTCTTGACATGTACTTGAAACAGACCAAGAAGCACTTATGATACAATTGGATGAAGACATTCAAGATTGAAAGAAACAACATTTTACTTGTCTTTCATGCTTGGTGTGTTTGTGACCAGCGTTGGTAAGGCAGATCTAGACACTGTGAAGTCTAGCCCTTTTGTGTTGACAAAACATAGTAAGTGACTGTCATACATGTGAGACTGTGACTGTTAGTGTTAAACCTGCCCATGTGCCCACGTAGCTGCTGCAGTGTTCCAGCAGCCGCAGCAGCAGCAGCCGACCCAGACAGGTGTGTGTTAGTCAACCCTAACACCTGCTGCAAACCCACCAACCACATCACCCCCCATACCCTACCCTGGGTGCCAGCCAAGTTTACAGGCCGCTAACCGTTTTTTCGGCAGCCAGAATCCTCGCCCGCAGAGGAGTATATCGGCCCTCAAACTCCCCCAGGCTAGACTCCCCCGTAGCGGTAATTTAGACCGGCGGGCGAAGGGCGGCTCGAAAAACGAGTTCAGGCATCCAGGGTACCCATACCCTGCACCTGTTTGATTTTGAACAAATTTTTTGTATCATAGGAGTTTAAAGACACATGAACCATTAGCACCAGTAGATAACCAGGTTTGCCTTTACCACTTGATATGTGAAGAAAGTATATGCACTAATTATGAATATTTTCTGTAGGTTTTGGCAGCAGCTCTGGAGGTTTTGGACAGACACCAAGCTCACAGTATGTATAAAAATCAGTGCTTTATTATTTTCCAAGAATTTAATAGACTGTAAATATTGATTTTTACACTTTTCTTTCATATACATTACATATGCGTTTATTCCCAGCAGTTGATGTGGTCATATTTGCATGTATGACGTTATATTTATATATTCCTGCAGAAATGTAGTCATGTCTTTACTTTCATATTCAACTATTTTCCAAATGTTCACTTTTCTCTTCAGGTCTTCAGCCTTTTCATCCTGGAGGTGATCGGCAATACGAACGAGCATCATAAAACTAAAAGTGTAAAAGTGTACTGTACATTTGGAGCCAGTGTCTGGTTATCAGTGCACAGGATTGTTACATAGAGTTAAGTTAAAAAGACTTTGTTATCGAATGGCTTCCCTTCAATCTGTAATTCATTAAGATCATGCTAGAATGTTCTTTAAAGTTAAAGAATAGTCATTGTAGTACGTAGAATGCAGGAGAAAGTGGAGAAAATAGAAGAATACTACTGTAGTATTTGAAACGTCTTGTCCATAATGCAATGTCAAGACTGAGTAGTACCAGTAATATGGGAGTTGGACACTTACTCTAATAGTGTTCTCTTGTGACTGAACCCTGCGTACCATCATGGTAGTAATTGCATGTAAGAACATACATGTACATGTATGTGTATGTATCCTCTTTTAATTCTCACTTACTCACCAAGGGTAAGACAGATACATACAGATGTATAGGTACATAAACATATTATTCTAGAATTTGCCCACGCAGAACCGCTATAACTTGAAGCTCAAGAGCCATAAGTCTTCAAAAGTTCAAGTACAACATGCCAACACACTTAAGTACACTTTAGTTTCATTGTTGAAGTAGCCAGCTACTAGTAGCGCACTCATACCTTAGATGACCTGTCATTGTAGTTCAGGTTTAAACTTATGTCAATGTGACAATACAAAGACTAGATACAAAGGCAAATACAACAGACAAAGGACAAGTACAACAAAGGATAAGTACATTGTACTGTATTTCATAGACATAGTGTACCTTTTCTGATTAGTAATGCAGAGCCTTTATCTGTAACATCCTAGCTGTGATATTACAATTATGAAGAATAAAGCTATATCAAAACATGCCTGACGTTATTTGTCGGACAAAGTCAAAATAAGCATGTATATTTTGCTGTCATTTGTAGACATTTTTCCTATTGCTGAAAATTGTGTCTCAAATCATTGCATCTGTAAGACTTAGTAAGACTATTTAGACTTAAACAGACTTTTAAAAGTACACAGCACAATACAACTTGCGAACAAGGCAATCGGGGATAAATCTTCACCCCCTCAGAAGCAAAGCGCCCTCTAGTACAATATACAGGAACTGCGCATCAGACACGGACTTGTACTAGTATAAAGCAAGGCCGTGACAGACTAGTACTACTAGTATACCCTCGTAATAGGTCAACCGATTTACGAGAAAGCGAACACCAGCGCGCCGGCCTTGGATTATACAGATCTATACAAACTTAATTGGCGTTCTCCTATCTCCAAGCAGATGGTGGGGTGACGATTTGTAAGTTTTTCTGGATGTCTGCCAGCAAAGCCAGACGGTTAAAAATTAGCCCTACAAGCCCCACCCCGACTAACCTCCACCGGGCTCCAGAAGTGGCTGAAAAGAATAGAAATTGGCCGAATAGATGCCAGGGTGGCAAACTAGTCTGCTTGAAGATTTCTAGTCCGGTCATAAGGAGGTCATGTCACAGCTGCCGTGAATACATCAACGGTAATGGCGCGCGCTGATTGGGTAGAAGGAAACGGATGAAGCCTGTTGTTGTCGGAGTCAAGGGGTGAAAATGGCCGAGGGAACTAGCAGCGGCAGCGCCATCAAAACTCAGCTTTTTGTCCTCAACGTCGTGTTGTGGGTAAGTCAGAGTCAGCTGATATATAGAACTACGAGTAAATAAAATCGGCCTCTGTTTTACATTTCTTTCATGCGTCTGTTCTTGCGTAAATAAGAGGAATGTTTGACGTCTTGTAGACTGCTGAGCTAAAAATACAACACGAATTCTTGAGTGAGGAGACAAGTTGGGTACAAGGGGGCGTACCATCGATCTCCAATCAGATGTTGGGGTAGACGATCATGATGATTCCGCCTGGGTGCCATGATTTTACGCGGGGACCCCGGTAATAGCCCTAGGGGTACATGTACATGGCAGTCAGACAAGGTTTCACGATCTTCCACCCTAACATCTGCTTGGAGGTAATTAATAAAGGGGCTTGGTACTGTACACAAAATTCAAGTATATTTTGCAAGGATGCAACATTTATAATGTCAAATATGAGTTCAAAAGTTGGTATAGCAGAACTGGTCAAGGTTGTCATGCACATTCAATTGCCACTTAGAGTATTCCATTTTATTCATTCATTCATTTTCTGCTCAGCTGGCAGGCGGTGTCCTGTTTGCAGTAGGGATCTGGCTGTTGTATGATCCAGAGATCGCCCAGGTGGTGTCTGCAGAGCTGCACCTGACCTGGTTCTACCATGCCTGTTACGCCATGGTCGTGGCAGGGGCCATCACCATCCTGGTAGCCTGTGTGGGCTGCTACGGGGCTATGAAGGAAAGCAAGCTCATAGTGATCGTGGTACGTGTTTGTATTAAAGAAATGCTTTGACTATATGTATGAGCTTTCTGTTTAACACTCTACCACTGGCTGAAATTTTGCAAAAGTCAAAGCTTTTTCTCCAGCCTTCTTCAGGTAGAGTTACATGTACAGTAATGACACATATTTCCTATGGTACATTGTGCTTCATGAATCACATGTCCAAATAAGGTCATGAGTTATCATTGAGTAAGTGCAGGAGTGGGTCATTCTACCTGAATAAGGCTGTAGACACAGTCACCAATTTTGTGAATTCTACAGCAATGGAAGAAACCAAGATGAATTCTTGCGTTTAAGTCTCAGAATCACAACTGTATCCCTATACAAATGTAAATTCTCATTTCTGTATTTCAAACCTTTACAGCACATTATTTCACTTATTGTCTGATAGACAGTTTTATAGATCTTCCACTGTTTTGTGACCTAATGTTCTTGTCTATTCTTTTCCAGTTTGGAGTCCTGTTGTTCATTGTGTTTGCCTTAAACGTGGGAGCCGTTATTGTGGGCGTTAAGTACTACAGAGAGGTTGGTCTTCTCTGTAACCTCCCTCCCAATGTCAATCTTGTAATTTGTCATGCCATACATGTACCTCTATATCTGCCTACATACTATACATGTTGGTCAATTTTGTCCAAAAGCAAGCCAAACCATTCCATCATGATGATTGCAATGTAAGGCCACACCAAGTAAATTTAATGGATGACGTCCTTTGGAGACCCTAAATCTAATGCGAGAAGGCAAAAAAAAACAAGAAGGGCCCTAAAAAACAAGATGTCTCGATTAGAAATAATGAAACAAATTGAATGAGGTGACACAGTGTAACAAGCAAGAAGTTTTTTTCATCATCTTTAAAACAGGCAAAGTTAGCTCTCCATGGCCAACATCGGGCGCGTACCAGTCAACAACAACATTTCCCCACGCTTTTATGACCTTACGCTCACATACTTGGCGACCAAGGGTGGTGAGCCCACATGCACGACGACATCTTGTTACGGGTTTCATCATCGTTACGGGTTTAAAGCCAATTTGACGATTTGCGGTGCTGTCGTGACTCTCTGGTCATCACAGGAAGCGGAATTTCTTTTTTTTTTTCTAGGAACAGGCCAAAATCAATGCGCGCGCGGACGTCATCCATAAAATTTACTTGGCGTGGCCTAATTCATGTATACTGTGATATTTTATAGTTCTTAGATATAGGATAGATTTAACTTAAATTTTAAGTTTGTTGTCATACAATAGTACATGTACTTTGTAGGATAGTTAAACGGTAAGTTTTATTTCATTGTCCTTTTTGTCATTAACAAGGGATGTTCCTTAAAGGTCTCTTATATAGAATTTTTAAAGAAATCTTTTTGTTTATTTTACTTAAGACATAGACTATTAGAAACTGACTTGGTATGGACATACATGTACTAAACATGAAGAACATTTTCTCTTTTCTCCAGGTACGCGGTTACACGCGTGATTCCTTCCAAGATGCGATGCCCCGTGGGTACATTGAAGACAAAGACTACAGATTCAAGGATGACGTGAAGATAATCGAAAACAAGGTACCAATTTTATTTCAAACATTCATTGATGGTAGTGTGGTCTACAGTCACCACAGATTGTAACCTTCTAGTTTTAATTTAGTCAATGTGTAGTACTGATTGTTTGCTATTGTTTCATGTTTTATGCCTGTACCACAGTTTTCCTACTTGGGTATGACACAATGTACCGGTAATTGTCTGCAGGTATTGCTATAGTTGGACAAGCATGTAACTAGCTGATCAAGCTTAATTATGATTAATTCAAAATAGCTAGTTCCATAGATTTTGATTGTCCCCATTTCTCTCTTCTGAAGGAAGTAATCTAGCTAATATAGTTGTATAATGTTTTTCCTCATCCCCCTGTTGTCCCTAAACCTGTATACTTTTTTAATGACTTCTGTATTCAGTCTACAATCTAAAAACCTTGATCCCCCCCCCCCACAGTTCTCGTGCTGCGGACTGAGAGATATGAACAACCACGGCGTACCGTGCCTGCAGGACTCGTGTTTGTGTGACTCCAACATCCGACAGGACTGCAAGAACTACACAACCTGGGGCGGCACCTGCCAGATTTATCCAGAGGTAGGAACAGACTCAGGATGTATAAAACAATGATAATAATGGTTTTTATTGGTCAAACATTGTGCAATCACAACCCTTAATGAATGGGTGTACCTATGGCAACATTTCTTTTCTCAGAAGCAGTCCCATAACAGTTCATAGATCTATTTGTTCTTAAACCCTGATACAGGTACCTCTATAATTGTGTTTTACAGCCATGCATGTATGCTGTGTCATCGTTTCTCAAGAATAAGATCACTGCAATGATAGCTCTGCCACTGATCGTTGCTTTTATACAGGTGAGTACTTGTATATTTTACATGTAAACTAATCAGTTTGGTGAAAGAATCATTTCACAATTTGTAAAATAAAGAATCACACTGTGATATCCTAAGTCATGCCAAGTACAGTAGGGGCATATTATCATTAGATAGCTTTAAACAATGTTTAGAGTTAGATATTCAAGGGTTAGGTGTAACAAGTTGTTCGGTGGAATATGTGCTGCTGCCGCGTCACGTGCCTGCGAAGCTGGTGTGATGCACAGAAAGACGGTTATACCGGTTATATAGATAAAGATATAGATACAGATGCCTCTATATTGGTCTGCCATCTCGCTACCTTCCATACCTCCAACTTATGAACATTTTGGTCTTTCCCTGTGACAGACAGAAGCTTATTCAGTTAATGATTGATTGTCATCTGTTTTTTCACAGCTATGTGGCATCTGTTTTGTCTGTACGACACAGAGGAAGATGGGTGAGAATGTGGCCTAGTGCAGTGTAGTTTATATATACAGTATAGCCTCTACCTGAGGCTTCAGTTGGATGGAAAGAGTAGAAATTGGCCAAATGGACACATAACATGCCAAGGGAGTTGGTCCACTAAAGGAGTACAGTTTACCACTCTGTCAAAGCTTGGAAGCGGCAAACTGTACTCCTTTAGCGAACAAACTCCCCTCACATGTTATCTGTCCATTTGGCCAATTTCTACCCTTTTCAGTCATTTCTGAAGACTGGTAGAAGGTACAGAGTAGTGCCTGTATGCTTAAATCAAACTCTGCAGGATTCAACGACTCTCTAACTCTACTATTTACCTTTTAGAAATCACTTAATCTACCATATATTAGACTCAGGAGTTGTTTGAATTCTATACTTTAATGTTTGATACCTGGCAGTCAGTGTGTAGTACACTGTACTTTGGCACTGTATCTGTTTTGATGTACACATATATAACATGTTAAGTCAGCAGGTTTGATTAACAGCTGTGTTAAACATACATATAGTACAGGTTCTTGTGTTGACAACAACATGTTCAGTCAGGATATGTTGTCCTATCTAGACTCCAAATGACCTGTAACTAAATACATGTACATGTATAAGGGTTGTGATTTATACATTTGTATCATGGATGTAACATGTTACACGTATGGAACATGGAACACATCACAGCTTGTTAGATATAGAGTTATTAGTGTAGTTTGCTTTTTAAGTGTAATAAAAGTATTTAAAAAAAACAGCACTTTTGTAGTACTGCAGATATATTTGTATGCTTGTTGTAGTTAAAAGGTCCTTAGATAGATGAAATCAAGCATGTACACTTGTATGAGTGTATTGTGTATTGCAACTGATGGCATTATTTTCCATGCCAAAACTAACACTGGCAGTATCAACAACTCCCGAGGCGGTAGCCGAGGGTGTCAGGTAGTCCCCGAGTGGGTGGGCAACACTATATCCCAGTAAACGAGCCCAAGCCCATGGTCTATCTGACTTAGAACATGGCCATTTCCCCGAAGTTATCTTTCAAACTTATTCAATATCAAAATTTGTCTTGATTTTGCTTTATAAAGCTTTGTTTAGTGTCACTTTTTGCCTGTTTCAAGGAGTTGTTTGGCTGTCCATCTGACGTGATTGACGACCGCTAGGTCGTCAATCAGGTCAGATGGACAGCCAAACAACTCCGAGAAAGCTGGTCTGTTTTGGTGATTAGCCTGCACAGAGGGGGGACCTGGTTTTAATTATACCCAAAAAGTGTGGTACTATCTGAAAAGTGTGGTACTAATTTTATGCAAATGAGTTTTAGAGGGGTAGTGGCCATGTTCTAAGGGTTGGTGGTCAACCTTTATGCGCATGATTAGAATGGTGATAAAGGCAGAAGAGCATATAGAAGCAAAAAGGACTATTGTTCACCCCCATGAAACTCCTTCCTCTTCGCCCCCGCCGTTCTGCTTCGCCCCCGCCCCGTTCTGCTTCGCCCCCGCAAAAAATCTGCTTCGCCCCCGTCGTTCCTCTACGCCCCGGCGCAATCTGCTTTGCCCCCGTCCTTCTGCTTAGCCCCCAATGGCGGCACAGCTCACAGTCGACACGAAAATCGTCTGCAAAATAACAATAAAGGCTGTGCCGCCAAATTTAAAGTAGCCCATGCTCCGGCAAACATTCTGGACCACCTTTCTGCCAAGTGGCGTTGCACAAATCCTTCCCATTCAAAAGTTTACCCCTACCTCACGGCCCGTCAGTGGTTCTTACGTTTATAAGTACTGGCGTTTATAAGTACAGCCGTGAGTGAAATTTCCCGCCAGCCTTTATTGTTATTTTGCAGACGATTTTCGTGTCGACTGTGAGCTGTGCCGCCATTGGGGGCTAAGCAGAAGGACGGGGGCAAAGCAGAATTGCGCCAGGGGCGTAGAGGAACGACGGGGGCGAAGCAGATTTTTTGCGGGGGCGAAGCAGAACGGGGCGGGGGCGAAGCAGAACGGCGGGGGCGAAGAGGAAGGAGTTTCATGGGGGTGTTGTTACACTCCTTTTCTATACGAGCATTAGAACATGGCCACTACCCCTCAGCCAATGAGAGCCCCTCATTTTCTATGTCTATATCCCCATAGTGCCAGAAAAGTGTGGTACTATCCAAAAAGTGTGGTACTAAAACTCATTTGCATAAAATTAGTACCACACTTTTTGGTTAGTACCACACTTTTTGGGTTTTAATTGAAACCATGTCCCCCCTCTGTGTACGCTAATCACCCAAAGGGACAAGAGGATTGAAACACAAACAGACCAACTTTTTCAAAGACAAATACTGCATTGAAACTGATATTTAACAAGAAAAACTGAAATTGAACAAGAAAAAAATAATATTGAACAAGTTTGACGGATAACTTCGAGGAAATGACCATGTTCTAAGTCAGATAGACCATGGGCTTGGGCTCGTTTACGAGCAATCGCTGTTACGTACCCCCTGGGTACCAAACTAGTATCGGGCCGTTAGCCGTTTTCCTTCGGCAGCCAAGAGCCCTGTGCCCGCCTATCTAAATTACCGCTACGGGGGAGTTGAGCCCGAGGGGTTTGTCCGGCCCTACAACTTGGAGGGCGGCCAAACTCCCCCCGGGCTAGACTCCCCCGTAGCGGTATTTAGATCCGCGGGCGAAAGGCTCTTGCCGCCCGAAGAACGAGCTCTGGCACCCATGGCCAGGGTACCCCCAAGCGCAATGCATTCTGATACCGCGAACCAGATTTGAACTTTGACCAGGAAAAGACAAACAAAACCACCCGCTGTGGAGCTGAATGCCCCTATCGAGGCGGGCCTGGGCTTGTTGGAACACGCCCGGGCGAGTCATCTTGGCGGTTTTGTTCTCAGAACGCTCAGAACCGTTAGATCAGCGCAGACGCCGGACGTGTACATTCAAGCTCTCATACAACCGGGCCAATACTTCAAGTAGTGCCGAATTTGTAGCAATATCCTCAGTGTTATCCAACAATTTTCGGCGTTTTATCTGAACTCACCTCACGCCCATCCCCTTCTTGACATTTGTGTCAAGTTTGGCCGAGGTGTGCACACATTTTCAACGGTTGGCGGCACCGCGTGACACGAAACCCACGACATTCAACACAGGCGATACCAGATTAGCACGCCTTGCACTAGTTGCAGGTAAGTTAGGTACTAGCTGCTTGCCTCTATAGTGCAGTACTACTATCTACACCATTTCCGTCCAGATGTACCCAGCCAGAGAAAATACCCATCAGGAGTGACAAAATCATTAGAAAACAAGAGTTCCACGATCTCATACCTTCGCCAAATTATGTTAACCCTTGCGGGTGACGAATTATACAATTTCAATAATTGATTTTGCAAGTAAGAGCCTCATTTGCATGGATTGTATCAGTTGATCATATTCTCCACCCAATGACAGCCTTATCAAGGCTATCATAGGCTATTATAGGACTTGCTCATAAATTATGCAAATGAGGTAATGATTTGAATAAATTATATTTATTGATGTTTGCCTTCACTTAACTTCCAAATGTGGCAAGTATGAAATTCCCAGCAGTTACAACTTTGAAATTATGAAAAATTCCCTAATTATGCAGATTAGGTCTTCATTTACATAATATAAATCCTCGGATGTTTTTTTTTCGTTCTCAATTACAAGTTTCTCAATTACAATTACAAGTCACAAGTGTTTCATAGTCCTATTATCGAGCAAAACAGATTTATAGAATTTCCTCATTAATTATGCAAATTAGCTCCTGATTTGTATAATTGTCATTGATTATGTCAAGCATCACTTCAGCTACCTACAAATCAAAAATCATGACAATCCGCCAACTGGTTCTTGAGTTATCCTTCTTCAAACATTTTTCAACAAATGCTCCTGCAGTTCCACAACAAGCCGCTAGGGGGTCCAAACTCATGTCACTTCTTCCCTACCCCAAGAGCTATCTACCACCAAACATTGGTGACCTTAGTATGTCCAGATCGCGAGATATCAAAACCGGAAGTTCTGCTGCAGTACCTAGGAACGCCGCCAGGGGGCTCAAAATCTAATCATTTCTAGCTCTCATCAAGACCTACCCACCTACCAAGTTTCATGACAATGCATATAAGCTTCTTGAGTTATGCTGTTCACAGACAGACAGACAGACAGACAGACAGACAGACGGACAAACGCTACTGAAAACATAACCTTCTTGGCGAAGGTAATTATGTGTACAATGTGTTGTTGGTAGCCTGGGTTCCAGACCCATAGCACACTGGACACAAACGCATACCAAGGCCACGCACTAGTAATAGAAGACAGATGTTCACAAGCTTGCCACTGTATCCTGTATAGTAGACAGGAGGTTCGTTCACTTCAGTTTGAAAGGGACAGGTACCTCTGTGGTGGCCTGGTATCTGAGATATTCGGCAGCTAAAATAGTTTTGGATGCCGGGCTGCCTCTGTTGACTTTGTGTGACAGTGTGCTATGGGTCTGGCACCCAGGCTAGTGCTGAGACTTTCCATTGAGTTGCTTACAAGGTTTCACTTACTTTTTTTTCCGCAGTTTTTATGCTACACGACATTGGACCAGCTGCGGGGGTCAAGAAAGAACGATGGCTTACAATGTACGTATAAGCAGCGATACTACAGCGTCCATTATATAAAGATCCATGTTTGAGTGATATGTTTGAGATTGTGTAGTCTGGGTTTGTTGTATAATTGCTTTGCTCCGACCAAGGAGCTTTTATTCACCATAATAAAAGCTCCTTGCTCCGACCAAGATTTGTCGAACAATTGACTGACTATTAAACTTAGATTACTAGTATCCTGTGAAAGAAGGGCTGGGAGAGATCCCATTGACACTGGTTGGAACGTAAGTCTATATATACGCAGATACCTAGATGTCATTGTTTTATTTCCGTGTGGTATAATACAATCTGTACGTCTATCTCTACCATCAGTATTACTACTATTATGAAGAGTCGGATTCGTCTGATGAAGAGTCACGTGATTCGCCTGCACAGCTTCCGAATTCTCCTTGGACCGGACTCTACCATGGCCACGTCATCAAACGAATGATATCTCACACTCTTGAGAGTTGGGGCAGACACTGGGACAGACCACACATATTCGTCGTAACGCCTTTCATTGACGATGAAGGCCTGAGTGAGTAACACATTTATCAACAGAAACTTATTCCAAAATCATTTAATTTAGTTGTCTAGCCCATAGCAGTTCACAACATCACAGATGAGAATACAGATGCTACACGACACAACAATTTTCAGCAATGAATAATGATACTATCTTGGCATATTTTAGGAGTATCTGTGGCATAAGTCTTATTTTGGAAACTACTACTATGAGCTTAACAGGATACCCTATGTGACACGTTGGGCAAAAATCTACAGTTGAATACAGGTAGTGAAAGATGCTTTTAGATTTCTTGGTATGCAATTGTATGTTTACCTTTGGTTTCATTTTCTGTTTATGTCAGGAATGATCAGAGATGCGATTGGACAGCGGGGCAAAATCGAGGCTCTGTACACCCGAGACAAAGATGATGATCCTCTTGAAGATAAGATGCAAGGAATCCTCGCGGAAGAGAATTTCGTCAAGCTGAGGGTTGGTCCTCGCGAGATACAAAACCAGAAGCACTACTACCACTGCAAGTTCGTCGCTGCCGAGTTTCGTGACCGTGTGGAGATTCTGATGACCAGCGCCAACTTGACAGCCGACCACTTCATGCGGGAGCAGATAGATTCAGTACACAAGTACGAGGTTACACCCGGGGCCTTTAGAGAGGAGTACTTGAAGAAGTTGAATGAGCACTCAAAAGATTATGAGTGGGTAAGTAACGTTAACACTGCTGGTGATAACTAATATACCATGGTTGTCTCGACGTATAACAATTTCGTTATAACATCATTTTCTACTTTCCGCAATGCTTTCGGATTTCTGACTAACATTATCGTCTGATATGGAAGGCTGTCATATCAGAATCAAAGTCTTTTCAAACAGACCACATTTTAGAGCCAAGAATTATTTTTGGGTACAGTAGATATTCTCTGTAAGGTACGTTGAATGACTTTGTTGATTTTAATGACATCCTCTTGTGTTCGTCTTTGTAGCCAAGAGCAGCGTGTTGTAGGTACAAGCCAGAACAACAGAACGTACGTGCGCCCTACGCTCCGACTAGACAGGTAGTCTGTTACAACTGTGATGAAGAGGGCCACTACTCCTATGAGTGTCACGACTTCCACAGACGACAGCAACAGACGACACGTGCGTTCTACGCTCCTACTAGACACGGAAAATGTTACACCTGTGGGGAATATGGCCACTACGCCAGGGAATGTCCTGACAACTTCCATCCTGCAGGGTACTACTGACCCTGAAAAGTACCCTGCCATGTAATAGTTGTTGGGTGGGCCAGCTGTACTCTCTCCTTGCAACTAAGGGCTGAATTGATCTTGAGGATAAGTACAACTATTGGGTTCCTGTGAGGGGTGATATAATCCTATTCAGTGATATCTGTATACATCAAGACATCTTTGTATGATGTAGGTGTATGTATTAAGATTAATTTTGAAACACTCGGATTTACCTGAAGGTTGAAGATACATGCGTGATTAGTACCTGTACTGTGTGTCAGAAACGACTGGTTCAATACTGGTACATGCCACTACCAGTTATGACAATGTGTATGTGAAGTTTTTGAAATATTGTTTTCATGCAGGTATACAAGGCATTGCTTGTGTTTACCGCTTTTTGTATATTACCTTTGATACACATTACATTAAAAAGTCTGTTATACACTTTCGTAAACCATCATCATAGTGTGGTTTTGTCATAAGTTTTGAGGCTTATTTTTAGATAAGAATTAGGTCGAACCCATGGCCATGTCTATTATCATATGTGTACTAAATAATTCAGTTGAATTAATTTCCAACATAATGATTTCCGGTCCTGTAAAATGTTCTTTTCATTTAGTGACGTCGACCTTCATCTAATTGTATTACTTTCCTTTAGATTATCTTTGTATTCGTTAATTCATTTTTAATTACTATATTAGTTATGATATATGGTATTAGTTTTTATTAAAACCGAACGACAGACTTTGTAACTCCAACCGTGTAGAAAATTAATGTTTAACGTTAGAGTGTGTACATTACAATGTATACAATGTGTATTGCTGAATAGAGTGCCTTTCATAGGTCATGTTTGAACGCCTCGATTTGTCTCAGTGTCATTCTAGATCTTGTTCGGTATATTACTACATGCACAATTAGTACCGGAATAAGAGAATAGGAGAAACAACATGATCTACGTTACATCACCCGCTTGAACAGTTAGGACAGTTTCTTGTTGAGTCAGAAGTTTTAGAATTTTAGAACGTTCAAAACATGTTCAAGACTTTCGCTTGTTTTATTTTCTTAACGGAGCGGTTAACTGACACCATGAGCCATGCTGTGTCAGGTAACGCATGTCTGTTATCGCCTCAACACTTCAAAACACAGAACAGGATACCTTCCTGCGCCATGCAAGCTTGGAGGGTTACCCCCAGGTACAATGCATTCTGGGAATGGGAAAATGATACCGCGAACCAGATTTGAACTTTGACCCGGAAAAGACGAACAAGTGCGGAACTGAATGCCCCTGCCCGGGCGGGCCTGGGCTTGTTCCAACACGCCCGGGGCTGATTCATCTTCGCGGTTTTGTTCTCAGAACGCTCAGAACCGCTAGATCAGCGCACACGCCGGACGTCTACACTCAAGCTCTCATACAACCGGGCACATGCTTCAAGTAGCGCCGGATTGCAGCAATATTCTCAGTGTTATCCAACTACCAGTGCCCGTTCACTTTCCTGCCAAGGAATTTTCGGCGTTTTGACGTTATCCGGACATTATACCTACAAGGTGCGTTTACAACTACCTGTATGATCGGCAACAGCTAGTCTACGATATGTGTCAGTGTGCTGGGAATGAGTTGGTAACCTTTTTTGCCGTGTCGACTACGTTAACCGTAACGGTAACAGTGCCCCAAGTTAGCTTTCGTCACCCTGGGACAGTATTTCTTTATTTGGTTTTCCCATTGGGACAAAACACAATGGAGGGGGAGACAAAATAGGCGATTGTTCGCCTCTACTCGTTGTCTCTACTAGCTGGGATCCAGACTGGAAAAAAAACTTGTTTTCAACGAAGCAAATTTTGAAACGCTTTAATCTGCTTGGCAATATTAAACAACAATATTCTACATACAATTAAAACCTAAGTTGTGTTTTGTTCCCTTCGCAGTTTTTAAGCTACACGTCATTGGAACAGCTCCTGGGGTCAAGGAAGAACGATGTCCACGCAAGGTAAGTAAGGGACGTCATCAACGATTTAAAAATTTATGTTTGGCCAACCAATGTGTGGCAAGAAAATTCTCTTCGACTACTTAAACTATTTAAGTTGCCGTTATAGTTCGTTCGGCATTTCTCTGAACTAATGAAGAAGACTAGGTACATTTAAAAGACTTACACACTCATTTATCTTCTATTTTTTCAGGGCCTGAACTTGAGGAGTCTCTTGGGAGCTTGCAGATAGGAGAGGTGTGTTTTGATTCGATACCCGACACCATGCATATACTCTTTTTAGTTTAACTGTTATGTACGAAACAGAGAAACGTACAGTGGTATATGAGCGGTGATGCTTGTTTTGCTCTAAGATTTGTCGATCAATACAAAAATTTCAAAACTTTTTGAATGAATCCTGTGAATGAAGGGGTAGTGAATATGCCATTGACACTGGGGACAGAAATGGGTAGATGTTAGTGTTTTATGATATATGTACGTCCATATCTACCACTAGGATGATGAAGAGTCAGAGGATTCTTCTGATGAAGGATCGGAGGATTCCTCTGATGAAGAGGCAAAGCTCCCGGATTCGCCTTGGCGCGGGCTCTACTATGGTGACGACATCAAAAGAATGATATCTCACACTCTCAAGGGTTGGTGCAGCCACGACCCCAAACCAAAGATATACATCGTCACTCCTTTCATTGACGAGGAAGGACTGAGTAAGTAACAAATATACTACATGTACAATATCATGGGACCATCATCCTGCTATGGACAAGGCAGTTGATAAGTCTCATACCTTAATTTATTGTCTTGCCCAGAGCATGTTCACAATCAGTACAATTATCATTTATCCATCTATGAGTATACCAGTCGATTTGATCCAATATAGCGATTGTCAATAATGACACTATTTTGATAATATGTCATATCGGAATTATTTGGGAAAACTATGGCAGGGGTCATAATTACAAGAGGACACTGTGTGATACAATTTTGCGGAGTAAAATGTCTTGGTGTGTATCACGTAATTTACATTCATAATCTGTGGTATTTCAGAAATGGTGAAACGTGCCATTGGAAGCCACCAGATGGCTTTGTACACCCGTGAGGAGCAGAAACAGTACAATAAGATTATTAAACTGAAAACTATAATGACTGGAATCGTGTCGAGAGAGAATTTCGCTCAGCTGAGGGTTGGCATTCATGAGATAGAAGACCAGAAGCACTACTACCACTGCAAGTTCGTCGCTGCCGAGTTTCCAGATCGTGTGGAGATTCTGATGACCAGCGCCAACTTAACATCAACACACTTCATGCGTGAGCAGATAGATTCAGTACAGCAGTACGACGTTACACCTGAGGACTTTGAAGAGATTTACTTGCAGAAATTGAAGAAGCACTCACATGATTATGAGTGGGTAAGTAATAGCTTCTTCGTAATTTTCGTATGACATTATTTTCTACTATACTTTCTGCAATGCTACCATCGTGTGGAAGACTGTCATCTCAGAATCAGAATTGCAGTCTTTTCGAGCAGAATTGCAGTCTTTTTTTTGCATTCTAGAGCCAAGGTGCAGTTAACTCAGATATACTCTGTAACGTACGTTGAATTTTATGTCATCATCTTGTGCTCGCCTTTGCAGGCAAGTACCGAAACGGCGTCTGGTGAGGACAAACGAGAACAGCAGAAGAAACGTGCACCCTACGCTCCTACAAGACAGGGAGAATGTTACAGCTGTGGGGAACATGGCCACTACGTCAAGGAATGCCCTAAAGCAGATTGTAACCGCGGTGGAGAGAAAGTCCAGTTGGAGAACCAACAGAATGGTGCGCCTCCCAGTCCGCAACAGAGCAGAATGCCTTACCGTTCTTATCAGAACAGGATGCCGTCTCGTGCTCCACTGAACTGGAGGCCTTCCCAGGGGCCCGTGTTAAACAGGCACACAGTAGGCCGATGGCCCCCACCCAACCACTCCGATCAAAAGGTGGGACCGTCTCAACCGACGAAACCAGGAGCGGTACCCGCACGCGTACCCTAACCAACACTGCCGTCGAGATCCAAAAACTTTCGATTCCCCGTTTCCACCACCCTTTGCTGAGCTGGGCGACCCATATATGAACTGTTGTCCGCAAGAAATGAACGGACGCCTGCCGTGGCCGCAACGCGAGACGTCTGGCGGGCACGACCAAGCCCGGGGTCCACACTACTACCATCCAGAGTACTGCTCTCCAATGTAAAGAGAAGCGCTTGCTAGAAACTTTTCTGATAAAACCTCTGCAAACATTTTCGGCAAAAGGTTGATAACTTACTGTGTATACTAAACGGAAAGATACTGTGTAACTGTGCTACCAACCGAATGATGCACTTTTAATATGTGTTAAGTCCACCTTTTGACAGAATTGCCTGATCTGTATGATGTCCTTTAGTCCCAGTTAATTGTCATGCTCGCCAAAGAAACCAAATTCACGACTTTTAATACACAATTTTAGCATGTATAGCAATCGTCGAGCCATGGCTAAGCTAAGAATCAGTGCCGGCCTACGGTAGCTGTTGCAAATGGCCCCTATTTAAGATATACAACTGGACTCCTTCGAACGACAGACTCTGTACACTTTGTAACTCCAACCGAGTAGAAAATCAATGTTTAACGTTAGAGTGTGTACATTACAATGTATACAATGTGTATTGCTGAATAGAGTGCCTTTCATAGGTCATGTTTGAACCCTTCGATGTGTCTGTCATTCTTGTTCGGTGTATAACGACATAGGAGAGGCTGTAGGACTCGGGAGCTATAATAGGTTTGGTAACCAGGCTATCACGACATGGGCAATTAGGACTGGAATGAGAGAAGGCAAAAAATGCATGATTTCACGTTACACGGAACGTACACGTAAGACAGAATTCCAATCCGGAAATTGAAAATCACACGATTTGCTCGTCTTCTCACCTGCTTGAACAGTTAGGACAGTTTCTTGTTGAGTCAGAAGTTTTAGAATTTTAGCACGTTCAAAACATGTAAAGACGTTTTATTTTCTTAACGGAGCGGTTATCTAACACCTTCAGCAATGTGGTGGCAGGTAACACACCTATAGTACCACGCATGTGGCTAAAAAAACATGCCAACGTCTACCTCGACCAATATTGAGAGCGGACAACTATGTAAATACATAAAATACATACGCAGACGGCGTTGGCAGGAGCACGTACAGGTAGGTGTACCAAACGGTCGGTGGGGAGGACTCTTATTTTCTAGCCCATGTCAGTATTGTCGCGACTACTGAGTGTCAGTCGAAAACTGCATCAAAAGTGAAACTTAAATACGCCATGTTTTAATTACCTTTACCGATATGTCTCATTCAAAGCCTGACATTCTTACTCTAATGGCACTGCACAATGCACATGCTAGACTGCTGCTATGTTGAACAAGCAATATGGCACCCACTATTATATAGATTACCACGCATAATACGATTTGAACTCAAGTCCCGCCCCCTTCTTTACATTGTGTCATGTTTACCCAAGGAGGACAAAGGACTTTGAACCCTAACAGGCACAGGCGATACCAGATTTGTACAGGTGCCTTGCAGGTAAGTGTCAGTTAAGGTACTATCTTAACTCCCCTTACTTATATAGTACACTACCGGACACCATTTCCGTCCAGATATATCCATCACGAGTGACAAAATAATTAGAAATGTGTAAAATGTGTTGTCCGGTATTGCATATAGCGCCATTTTGTCTTGTGGTACGTTATATGTTATAGCCTTTGTGATTATGATTGCCGACGTCATATGGATATTGGCCGGCCAGTAGTAGAAATCGCGTTTAGTGCACCACTGGATGAATTCCATCTTTTTACAGGATCACCACTATTCATTTATTTGATTGAAATATCGATTGAACTTTCATTGGTAACGTGTACTTAGGGACTGTACGATATTTACCGGGGGGGCGGTCGTCTGAGGGGGGAGGGCCTAGGAAAAAAATTTTGAGCCGGGGGGAGGGCCTAGGAAAAAATATTTTAATTTGGGGGAGGGCCTAGGTAAAATTTTTTTCCAAGATCCCTTTAACTCTACAACGTTTTTATACACTTTCAAAACATGATTAAACGTCTGTCCCATACATATCGTAGCGATTTGCCATTCATTGGAATCGGCAGAATTTTACGTTCCAATAATATCCATCCCTATTATTATAATGTATTCGCCCAAATCTCCCACAGTCCCCTACAAAATCTTGCATTTTCGCCAGAATCGGCGAAACTGGACTACACAGCCAAATTAAATGGATTAAAATCGCGTAAAATATAAGTTGAAAAAAACTTGAGTGTGTCGTCACCACGTCTGGTGATTACATGTTGGAATAAAAAAAAAAATCGCGTCAAATTATCGCAGCAATCGAAACGATACCGATCAAAAATGTAGGGAAGGCTTGTCTGACGATTTTAGAAATTAATTTTCGCCGTTCAACGCACCCTTCCCAGTGGTGTGCGTGCGTGCGTCGGCAAAGGTCCCACTGGTCCCGCCTCGCAACTCGCTCGAACTTCTCTTCTCGGCGTGGATGTCGGATGTCGACGGATTAATTTGGTATTTTTCTTAAACCAAGGACTATTTTAACATTTATATCTATGTCCCTCCCAAATAAATTGAAAACAACAGGTAACTTGGCAATATTGTTTCCCTGTTTGTAATAAAATTGACGCGGAAGAAGTTCGTGGACGAAAGGTAGGCTAGATAGAGGATTATTTCGATTACACTGACTGACCTTTAATAACGTTACTGACTTTAAATTTATAGCTCGATGTACCAGCGAAATTTGTGCTGCCAAATTTGCCCCTCAACATGCAAAACATGGGTTGAAATTCAAAATTTTTTCCGGGGGGACATGCCCCCCCCCCCAAAAAAAGCCGGGCCTACTCGGGCTCTA